AAATGTGTACCTTTCATCTACAAGGCTGGTACTCCAAATTATAATAGTCAATTATAATTATATAATCTATTAAAAAGAATAACCAAAGTGCTATAATGAAAAGTAAAAACCTACAAAAGAACATGAAAGACATTTCCAGTGGCTCAAAGTGGCATAACAGTAGTACCCTATACAATTTCCTTTCTCATGTAGCCTGTACTTAGACTATGTTGCAGAGAAGGGGTGCTGGCAGTCACTTCCTGAATTCTCAGGAATGCATTCTTTATGCCCAGTGCCCACTGAATTATTTTCTATGATGCCCCATGAACGTAGCTACCTGGAAGTAAAAGGCATGCAGTTCATAACTGCAATATCAATAAATCACAGTTAAAAGAAGTACTTCCTTTTATTTTGGAGGTCATTCATATATTTGCAAAAAATCCTTCCTTCCTTCCTTCCTTCCTTCCTTCCTTCCTTCCTTCCTTCCTTCCTTCCTTCCTTCCTTCCTTCCTTCCTTCCTTCCTTCCTTCCTTCCTTCCTTCCTTCCTTCCTTCCTTCCTTCCTTCCTTCCTTCCTTCCTTCCTTCCTCCCTTCCTCCCTTCCTCCCTTCCTCCCTTCCTCCCTTCCTCCCTTCCTTCCTTCCTTCCTCCCTCCCTCCCTCCCTCACTCCCTCCCAATTTTTTAATTACATAATGACACAATTGGAAAAAATACAGTGACATTTTAAAGCATGTTCAAAGTTATGGAATAGTTTCAATTCTACAAATTAACAACTAGAGCAGGGCCTTTCAACCTGAAAAGATGAAACTAGGGGAGACAGGAAAACTTTACAGTATCATGAATGACAGAAATATTACACAAAGAATCTATCCAACACCTTTTCAAATACAAGAAATTAGTGGGCTCAAATGAACAAAGAATTTACTATATGTGTGGGTCAGCGGAGGAATTTTGTAATAGGATATGGTAGATAGTAAACCCATTCAGACTCAAAAAGTGAATGAACAAATTCATTAAAGAAAAAATATTCAAGTGTCTCTTGAACCAGTAGACACCACCACTGCCTTAGGGACTATCTGAACTGTGACACTCTGGAGGCTCTGGGAACATTGTACATAATTACCTTGTTCCTGCACTCTTCCCTAGACATGTGCTATCAGCTGCTGTCAGAGACAGAAATCAAGTCAGCTGCTTCACTGCAAACACTCCTTCTGTGAAAATTACAAACTTCCCTAACTCAAAGGCATTTCCTCTAAATTTGATACAGCTTAAGGGTGATGCCTAGAGAGGCTACCTGAACAGAGGCTAGACAGTGTTGGCTGAATAAAGTAGGTATTTATTAAAAAGGCCTTCAAAGGATACACCTTGGGCAGTACAAGAGCTCAGCCATGGCTCTACCCAAGATGGCCCTAACATGGGTGAGCCATCACAAGTTCTCACACTTTCATAAGCTTTGGTTCATTTACATATTGGGGTTAATTGTCCAATTACAGCTCCAGGTTATGAAGTCCCATCCTCCCAGATTGCTCTCCTCAATTCGCTGTTGTTTACGCTTTTTAGGCCTGAAGCTGCAATGGTGTCCTTGGTTGTCTGGCTGGAAAAGAATAGTTTTGTCTAACTAAACTGTGAAGGGAACTTGAACAGAGTTATATACTATAGCAGAATATATACAGAATCTGGAAAATATGAAAGCTAAAACTTAAGGCATCAAGGGGAGCATGCTAAAACTGGGAGGACTAAAATCAGGTGTATTTGATCCATTCCCTCTGCATTGTCTGTGATCATACAGTCTAAACCACAAAGCTCCATGTGATTTAATGACTTTTTGGTCAAGAATTTTCTCATGTATAATATCTACGCTATATTTGGAGTTTGTCTTTGCTTAGCTTTCCATCTCTAATCTAGTATTAAGAAGTCAAAATCTCTAGTAATTGTGATTCTTGGTGTAATTATTGCTAAAGAGATCTCAGTTCATATTCAAAACCTGATCACAGGTAAGTGAAAACTCTCTCTGGTACTTTCATAGTAAAGCCTGTCCCAATTATCCTTTAACAAAACAATTTTAATCACAGTATATTCATTTAATCAATGCTAAAATTTTTTATTTCTTTTCCATCTGTAGACTATTATTAGTACAAAATAATGTTTTTATTTCTGCCTTTTGAGAACTCTCACCTATGAGAACCTGATTTGTCTTCTATATATTTGTTTTTAATATGATCCTCACCTGCATATTCAGTCAACCTCAGAGTCAAAAATAAATTTCCACAGACATACATCCATCAAAATGCTTTTCAAAAAATGCCTACCAATAAAGACCTCCTAGGAACTTACACTTCCCTAAGCAATATTGTGGAAAAAAAGAATGGAAAATATGACTGCAGACAAACTGACAGCTTCATTTACATGTGGGGTTTTTTATAATGCTGAACCGTGTAGTGTTGCATGTCCCCCAACAATTCCCGTGAGCCATGACTAATTGCAGAAGTTAATAAGAATGAATATACTAGCCTGAGAATTGCCACATGAATGTATCAAACAAGTTGCAATGTTTTTTCTGATAGCTGCCTCAGCTGTGAGGAAAGCAAAACAACACTATTATTGATGAGAGCACAGGCTTAGCATAGCAATTTTTCTGGAAAAAAATATACCAAACCATGTCAGTTCCAGGGACTGTTCTGTCCTGCCCATCATGACACTTGTAATAAGTCTAAGTCCACTACAAGTTTTTGTTTACAGAATAATGTTGTGTTTGTTTCATTTTGTTTTCTTCATATAAATAGCTCTTCAGTAGAGCAAGTAAGTTAACCAGAGCAACCACAAGACAGGTCTGAAGCATCCTGGATCACTTGGAGACAGTCAGTCAGGAACTTACTCTGACAAAATCTACCTAAGCCTAGATTCAATAAATAAATAATGCAGGTCCAAATAATGCAGGGTAGGTGTGTGAACCTGAGCCTGCTAACCTCACAGGGAAATGCCCTATCACTCAATTACTAGAAAGGGAATTCCTTGGTCAACAAAAAACATTGATGATTTCAAAAGTAGCATGTGAATTTCTGTGCAGCTTCCACAGGTTTACCTTAGACAATCTTTTTTCAGAAGTATTTGTGAATGCTCAAGCAATGACTGCAATGGAGTGCCATCTAAGATGTATTGATGGGTGAGTGTAGATATTAGGCCTGCTTTGGGCACCAGAGACACTTTTCCTGTTTTCTCTCTCTCTCTCTTTTTTTTTTTTTTTTCCAATAATGCACTTGAGTCCAACCCACAAAAGTCCATTCTTGAATTCTTGGGTTCTTCTTGGGTAGATTGTGCTGCCTGAGGAAAATATTTTGCCAAAAATGCTGGTAAAATACAGTTTAAGAAACTTTTATATTTTATAATTACTGTTGCTGTCATGTTGGCCTTTTTTTTTTTTTTCAGAAGTACCAGGCATTGTTTCCATGCTTCAACACTTGTTCTCAAAAGCCTGACTTACCAGATTGTAAGTATATCTCTTGTTCATATCAATTTAGTTCAAAAATGTTAGTAAGAAGACAGCATATATATGAAAGACTGCAATCTGTCTGAGTTTGTCTTTTTTCTCAGTTGCATGCCATGACTGTGGAATGTATCCAAATAACATTCAATTGGGAGAAATCTTACAACTGCAAGGATGACTTTTATGGGGCAGTTCATCAACGTACCTTTGTTTGCTTCACAGTGCTTGTTAATGTTTATTTTAATAGAGTATTAATCTTTTCCATAGAACACCACATACTAAAAAAAAAACCTCTTGCTTTGTACTATGCACAGATTAATTAATTAACATACTTCATTTTGACAAAGAATTATAGATATAAAGGAAAACAGAATAATGAAATTGGCACCATTATTTTCCAGTAGCTCTAAAATTTAATTACAGGAGAAAAGAGTTCTCTCCATCCACCATGTTTTTACAATGAAGATAAAAGATTGTTATGTGGCTTAGTTATATGAGGAGACTCCTGGTCAGGGGTTACTTGTCCATTACCAAATGCCGATTCCCATTCCCAGGCTACAGCCTGTTTACTCAAAACAACCTGAGCTTTCCGATGGGGTTTACTTGAATTAAAAACTGGTTTATGCGGGTGGTGGTTTTGAAGGAATCCTTGATTGTGAACAGTCGATTTCACAGGGGAGTCTTAATGAAGTTCCTTGAGGCACTCTAAGCCCTGTGGATTGCAAAAATGGGCCCTAGCTAATGAACGTCAAGCTGGTGACGGCGCCTTGGTTTTGCTTGTGGTTGTTACGGCTGGAACTGCGTCAAGGCTTGTGCCATGAGCGTGCAAATACCTGGCCACCTGTCTAAATTGTAAACACTGCTTTATGCAGCAAATCCAGCGGTCCGGAGAGCCGGTGGCGGTAACGCGAGCCCGAGGGCTCGGGCAGGCAGGGCGGGGATCATCGGCGGCAGCAGCAGCGCCGGTCCCGCCGCGGGCACCAGGCACCCTCTCGCCCGACGCCAGCCCTCCCTCCCCGCCGCTGCCGAGAGCGCAGAGCGCAGCCGAGAGGGACCGGCCCCGGCTCCCGCGGCGCCCCGGCGGCCGCAGCTCGCACTGCGGCGGGCGCGCCCCTCAACGCGCAAGGCCACGGCACCGCCACCCCAGGGCAGCGAGCGGGGGCGGGGGCCGCGGGCACCCAGCGCGGTGCGCGGCCGTCCCCCGGCGACTGCCGGGGCCGCCCGGGGCGCGGCGGGGGCGGGCGGCGCCGCAGGAGGGCGGGAGCCGCCGCAGTGAGGCCGCGCGGGCGAGGCGGCGGCGGCCGTTGCCATGGCAGCGCTGCCCCGGGCCGGGGCCTGAGCGGAGGGGCGGGGGCGCCCCGGGCCGGGCCCGGCAGGGGAGGGGAGGGGGTTAAAGCGGGCGGGCGGCGCCGCGGGGGTCGCTGCCGGGGGCAGCCCGCAGGCGGGGTGAGGATGAGCCGCGGCGGGGGCCGAGGGCCGTGCTCCGAGCGCACAGGGAGGCTGCGGAGGTGAAGCCTCTGCTCCCTCGCCGGGCGGGATGGAGACACTTGGCGCTGCAGAGGACGTATTTTATGAGGAGGAGGAGGAGGAAGTGAACTGCTACGACTTTGAGCCTCTGCCGACGCTGCTGGAGGATGAGGTGAGTGAGGCAGGTGCGGGGATGGAGCCGCCGCCCTTGCGCTCACCTGTGGTGCAGCGGCCTCGGGGGCCGCCCGCGGGAGGCGGCCGGGCCGGGGGCGCACCGGCCCCCGGGAGCGGCCAGGCCGCGGCCGCAGCGCCGCTCGCTTTCCGTGTGTGCTCCTGCCCCGCGGTCCCTGCCACCAGCCTGGGCTTAGCCCATTGCCGTGCACCTTCTCCACACAACAGCAAAGTCATGGTCCTCGAGTGCGGGATGTCTCGTCACTGCTGTCGTAGCCGTGGGTTAATGCTGCAGTCGGCAAGTACGTGTCCTTGTCGCACCCGATCAAGGGAAATTTACATGGGCAGAATAATTTCCCGAAGCTGCCAACCACTTCTTTTGTACAGCCGTATATTGCTGCCCTGTACTAAAAGGCCTTTGACACTGGGAAATAAAAACCAAAAATATCAAACTGTTAAATCTGTTTCTTCAGTTATTATGCTGAAAACCTGTAGCTAAATCAGTTCTTGTCATTGCATTTGTCTGGCTCTATTATTGGTTTTGCCCTTGCTTTTTGTTGCTCTTGCTCATCTTTATATCTTTTCACATGAAGTGTGTTTCTTACTCTCTTGTGAATGTTGGGGCAAAATGTTTGGAAATACTTTCCTAAGTAAAGGCTTGGTGAACTGTATGTGAGCTGCCCATTCCCCAAACCAAATCTTGCAAACTTTCTAACTTGCCATGTCAGGAATCCATGCTGAATCAGGAGTTAAATGTAAGTTTGAAAATGCAAAGCCCCTTTCAGCTTTCCTGAGTCACCCATTGGCTTGGCAGTTTGGCTCTTCCACTGTCTGTAGTGTTCAGTGCTGTAGGCCCTCTCAGACTGGCTCATGCAAAATCTTGGAGGAGGGTGGTAATGGCCTTATTTTTTATACATTGGCTTAAATACTTAGAGTATTTTCTCAAAATGGAGAAGGCTAAGGGTCAACTCTTCTGTACAAGAAAGAATGGGGCCCATTTTTCATACCTGCTCAATGTATACTTTGATTGTGGGCTCCCACGAGTCCCATCTATTTAGTTATTACAGAAACAACGAATTTCAGTATTTTTCTTGGGAGAATGAGCATGACCTATCACCTGGTGGTTAGATAAGTTAATAAAAAAGAGCTGCTTTGAAGAGTACTCAGAGAGCTTACTAAGGCAACCCAGTGTTTTTCTTCAGATGTGATGAATGTAATGGATGGCATTTGCCACATTTTCTGTGATTCTGGAATAGAATGTTTTGAAGTTTGTGTGAATTATTGTGGCAAAAAGGTGTCAGAAGACTGTGAGTGCTGCTGTACTGAACTCTGAGCTGCTTAGTCATTTAGTGGCGTCTGCTCTTCTTGTCATTGTACCAAGTATAAAGAATGATGTTGGTGTCTGATGCAGGTGTTTTTTTGGCAATGTGTGAAGCAGGAATCTGCCTGAGCCGAAGAGTAGAAAATGCTAAGGATAAGGGTGTGTTTCAATTTCCTCTCTTTACTAGAACTTTATTCTAAATTTCATACTCCTTAATATTTGATTTCAAAATTTTTAAGAAATGGTCTGTGGAAAATTAATTTTTTTATTCCTACTCTCTTAATTATCTTTGCTTAGTTATATGCTACTGAACAGTTTTGTACCTGCTGAAGAAATTTTGAGGGAAAGCTGAAAACTAGTGAGCAGTTAAGTGTGGTTGCCCAACAGGTTTACTTTTTGTAGTTCTTAGTGTTAAAACCAGACACAAGTGTCTTTTGGTGAAAGAGACAAAAAAGAGGCATCAGCGTCTCCGATATTTACCATTTGAATGAAGCAGCTTCCAGTGGTCCAAAGTACTGAAGCAGTTGCTCATCAGAGGTTTCAGCATGCCAGAACCTCCTGTGTTTGAGTGTTAGAAGGATGGTTTTTTTCCACAGTGGTAACTTTTGCTCTGTGTTGCTTTGGAGATACAATCTAGTCAAATGCAAGTCTCAGTGTTTTCAATGCTTCATTCTCTACAAAGGCTTGCTCAGCTGCAACATCAGCTTTAATAACTAAGGTCAAGGAAGAGTGATCATTTGGGAAATTTGTGGTTTCTCTGAAGTGAGTAACTTGTTGCCCTGGAGCACTGGAAATAGAAAGGCCTGCAATATGGTGGTGGTGGTATTTTGCTTTACCTTTTTTTAATGTTTGTTTTATCTTCACCTAGCCATCCACTGCTGATGGAAGCCATGGAACATTCATAGGACTTTTTTTTTTCCTTTTTCCTTTTTTTTTCCTTTTTCTGTATGACATGACTTTCTTATCTCTGGGAAGGAAGATAAATGAAGCTTATCTGACATTTGAGCACTACCCTTTGTTTAGTTCCCAAATAACCACAAGACAAAGATGTTTTGCAGGTTTGTGCTGTAGATATCATTGCTGGTAATTATCTGCAGTGGAGTTCAGCCTCAAAGCTTAACTTAAAAGTTCTCTCAAGTCCTTATTGTGACCGGAATGTGATGCTGAGGCTGTATTAAAGATTGCAGGTTTATTTTTTTTCATGTACACTCTAAATTGAGCTTCTTATGTCCATATGCACGGATCAAACTTAGTTTTGCATCTTGATTAATGAATTGTTCTTTTATTTCTCGGTTGTGGCAAGTGCCATCGTGTCACCTAGCTGGACGATTCTAGGAGAGTTAAAAATAATCTCTCATTCTTTGTTTTGATCACAGAGTTTCTATTTTTTTAGCTCTTTTTGCTGGCCATAGAATAAGAAGTGGATCACCTCTTTCCAAGCCTATCCTTATTCCACCTCTCATTTTGGTCAGTTTCAAAGCCCAATGTTTGTAGGAGAGTTTCTTGCTATGTGTTTTTGTTTGCAGATAGAGGAACCTCTCTGCTGCTCTTCATGCTTGGAACAGCTTCCCTATGGAAATTTGCAAAGCCTCCTTATCCATCCTCACACTCTAATGGCAGCATTACACAGTTGTACTGAGCATAGCACAGAGAAAATAAGATTTTGTGCTGAGATCTTTTGCTGTTCATTATTATGTAGGACTGAATTTGATGAGACCAGGATCCATGATTAGTGCTAGAAGGCACTGTAATAATGCTGCCATTAGTAAATCAATCCACATCTAGGCCATGTCTATAAAATATAAGACCATTGAGAAGAAAAGTTAAGTTTGCCAAATAGCAGTGAGTGTGCTTTATTTCTTAACTCATATTTATTTATTAAGCATTATACTTTAGACTAAAAAGCACAATACACTTGTGGACTGAAGTTTGTTTCTTATTTGAAGGATATTATGAAAGCAATGCTTAATTCTCTGAAAGACATATTAATAAACTGTTAACCCCTTCTGTATGTGTTAATCCAAATATCATTGATGTTCTCCGGTGCTAGAGTAGGTAAAGAAATTTATAACTGTTCTCCAAGGGATTGAAAGTTTAAACCACAGTAGTTTTCTGAGCTGTAAGATAGTTTGCATCCTCTTTTGCTGATTATGACATAATTTATTTTTTCTCTCTGCTAAGCAATGTGTATCTGCATCTTCCATTCAGAATATATTTTATATCATTGTGTAATTAATAGTAGTTATAGCTCTGATTCAAAGTAACTTCTGTAGATTACCTTCCATTTTTGTTATCTTACTTTTCCTTATAGAGGGAGTTGATGTTTTGTTTGTTTGGGTTTTTTTTTTTCTCCTCATTCCTTTAAGTTCATGAAGACTTCTGTAGCTATGGGTAATGTATTGGGTTTGTTTTCCAAAAATATCCATAGAGAGGCTGGTTGCTCTGAGCCAAGCAATGTTTCTGACCATGTTGACCAGGAAAACCACATTAGAAACACATTTGGGAATGGACTCATAGCCTTACTGTGATAATAGGGTCAATGCAAGTTGACTACAGTTTAGGGCAGCAGCTTAGAAACTTAAGCCCATGGGCTGTTTTGATCACTAAAAGCTTTGGATGTAATGGGAAGGCCTAGGACAACCATAGTGTTTAGTTTTAAGTCCGAATATAAAAACACTTCTCCTATGGCATGTTTGGCTTTTCAAAGTTTATTAAATGGTCTATATCACTAAACTTCACAACAGCATCATTTTTATGACAGGCTAACCTAAAAGGTACTTTTTCCCAGATCACAAATGGTAGGGAGAAGTGCTGTGAAGAGAATTTTTAAGTAGTTTATATAAAGACACCTGGGAAAGCTTGAAAGGGATGGATGAAACAAAATGTTTTCATTTAGTCTCTCTGCTTTTACCTCCAAGTGGTCTGTTTCCTTTGATGTAGTGTTTATGTAACTTACATATCTCCCATAGTATTTTTTTATGTTGGCATACTGTGATATCTTTGTTCAGTTTAACTGTGCTTCTTAAAACATCTCTGTGTTAAGAGCAAAGTCATGCACTTGGTGTTTCTTGGGGTGTTAATCAGTGTCCTAGAAAGTCTGAGAACTTGCTGGAAACATTACTTGTAGCCAATTGTGTCAAATATAATCTATGATACAGAAAGTAGTGTCATGAAATCCAGGGTAATTTATTAATTCATATCTTGGCAGGAGAATGTGTCCCTTGCTGATATTTTGTCACTGCGGGATAGCTGTCTTACTGAGCAAGATATTTGGGCAATTTGCCTGGAGTGTTGCCATTCTTTGAAGAGCATTGCCCATTCTGCAATCTTCCAGACACTCTGCATCACTCCTGACACTTTGGCTTTTAACACCAATGGCAATGTATGCTTCATGGAACAGCTCAGTGGTGAGTATTTATGTTTCCAGGCTGTTTGTTTTAGAACTGTGGAAACTCATGGCAAGAAACTGCAGTAAAATATTACATTCTATTTTTAAAACTTACAATTAAAATAAAGATAAAATAAAACTTATTTGGGAAGGGTTGTGTATATTTTCATGTGAAACTATGTGTTCAATTTTATATTTGATGAACAAAGGCTGTTCTGAATTTGCTTAGAAAATTCCTCCTAGTTATTTTAAGACTTATCCAGGTGATAGGTCCTCTTTATTTCCATTTTAAACACACAGATTGTGTACTTGTGTGTGCAAGTCTCTACCTTTGTAAAGCATGTCCTTCACCTCTTACAGATCTTCTGATTTCATGGATATGTTCTGTTTCTAGAGAAGTCTGATAGTCAGTGTATCTTGGTGATTGTGGCCATAAAAATGGAGCAATTCTATTGCATATTTGCTATTAAAAAGGAAAGTTCTCTCAAATAAAGGCCTTGCTTTTTTTAAGCTCTCTCTTGAATAAAAAATTATTACTTTTTAAGTAATGATTTTCAGACTTGCCAAGTATTGGGACTGATTGAGAAATGAATTTTAATATGTTAAAAAAACAGTATGTAGTAGCATGGAAGATGTTCAGGTATCATAGCAGATGAACAGGGAGATGCTTGACTTTAAAAAAATTCTTGTTTTAGCTTGGACAAAAAAGCATGTTATGGTTGCTGTTCCTTTCTCATGTGATGCATCTCAAGATGATAGGTCTTCAGTCTCTTAATGATTTTACAGAAGAAGAGTAAGAAAACCAAACAGCTCTTACTCTATGGTATTTTTAAAATTATGTTGGCTCATAACTGGGAGAACCATTCTAGGCCAGATACACACCTGTCAAGTTTTTGTTGTGATTTCTTTAGCCTAATTTATTTTTAAATCTCTGTCAGGATAAATGTTTATGCTTTCACACAAAATCTAGATCACAGTATTTAGAAAAAATACTAGAATAAAAATGAGATAAGATACCATTGCAACAAATGAAGATTTTTTGCCTCTTTACAATTAGTCTTTCATATAAATGGAACATCATATAAAATAACATTAATAAAGATTAAAATATACCTTCATAATTGTTGTGATATTTTTTAAATTAAATTCCTTGAATAGACATGAGACAACTTTTAGTTACATATTAATAGGGTAATGTGGAATCAATTTCCTTTGTTTTAAGGAGCTTGTCATACCTTGAAATTAAAAAAGAAAAATAAGCTGGCTTTGCATAAGCCAAGGGTGTATGAAAGACTTGTTGAAGAGCATAAATGTAGTGGATGAAAAATGCCCCTCAACGAAGATCTTTGCTTGTAGCTGGGGAAGAGAAAAATCAATTTCTTCTTAAATGTTCTAGTCTAATTGAATAGCTGGCAAACAATTGATTCAGGATTGCTGTATTCATGTACTTAAAATGTGGGATAACAAATTCCTGTGCAAAGCAAATGTACAAAGATTTAGTTCCCTGAAGTCATGTTAGTCTCTAAGGAAATGACTTTTCATTAGTTCTCTGTAAAGAAAGGTATGTTTTCCATAGGAATGCAAAAAAGTGACACCTATGTTCTATTTCTCTCATGCCTCTCTGTGTCTTTGGCTCTTTCTCTCAGATTCCGTTACTGTTTGGTTAAAAGATAGTTTGTTGGAGGCACTTGAGGAGGTGTCCTTTTCGCTTCCCTGCAGTTGTTGCCTATAGATTTTTTCTTCCAGAAGAAAATGATAACTTCTGGATTTGCTTTCCAGTGAGAGAAAACAAACAGGCTGTCATCTCTGCTTTAGCAGCAAGTTCTGCTTCCTGCAAGTTCTGTGGTGCTGAAGTGACAACCATCCAATAGGATGTTCTGCCAGGGGCTCTGATTACCTTCTTGTCTCTTCAGATCACACACATTCCCATTGTAAACATTATATTAAAAGAATACAGTGAGCTGTACCAGTGATAAGTTAAATACTTGTACAGCCTTTAAAGTGTTCTGTGGAAAGAAAGGGAAAAGGTAGTGGGGAGGTAAAAAGGGAAAGTAGTCTGCAGGTGGAGGAGAAGGGAGAACAAAACATCTGTCCGTTGGTTTCCTTCTCCTTCTGCTTTCTCTGCCCATCCCCAAAATCAGGAAAAAATGTAGTGGTGGGTAAAAAAAGCAAAGTGGATTGCCTAGCCCTCTTTTTCAGTATAAAATGCATTTGGGAATGTCCTTAAGAGCTGTAAATCAGTTACTGTTTCTAGTCAGTCATGCCACCTAGCTACAATATCTGAATATGTTAAAAAAGTCCTCTCTATATAACTGGGTTCAATGAAAACTTAGCTTTTGTGCCTGTACTTTAGAAGTGAAAAGCAAAAGTTATGATGATTTAGAATTAGAGTTATGATGATTATGCTGTGCCTCTGAACATACTATTTTTTTCTTCTTGTTGGAAGGAAACATGCTTTTTGCATGTCAATCATCCTGACTTCCCAGAAGGATAGATTAGGTGAGTTGGATATGTATGTGGAGAGTAGGCTTTTTAGTTGTGCTCCTGTTGAATTCCTTGATGTTCTTTACTGGGTTCATGTGACATAAGTGCAATGTGATACTGTGTACCTGCTTGGATACAGAAACAGCATCAGACTCTCATAAGATGTTCTTTTCTTCCTTCCACCTCCTCACTCAGAACTGGCTGCTGCAGTACAGTTCTCTGCTCAGCAGCACATGCATGGGCTCTTAACTTCCTCTACTCTTTTATCATAAATGAAACAAGCTAAGCAGAAAGGTCAGAGTTCTAAGCTGGCCTGTAGATGAAGAAGCAATTAGCTGTTTCAGGCTGGCTTTGCTGCTTGAACCCTTATCACCCAGGTCTGTAATGGAAAATAGTGAGTAGAACTGTCCAGTTAATCAAATCAAACCTCTAAGCCACAGCTGAGCCACACCAGCTTAGGTGATAACTGGGTCCAAACATAAATGCCTGAAGGTAAGAAGTGGTTAGACATGTTAAATGTATTTCTTTGTGGGTGTTTAATCTGTTTTGTTTCTTATTAGGGAAGTTATGATACCTTCTTGGAGAAGGCTTGAAAACAGCACTTTATTTTACTTCCAGCACTATAAACATGGATAACAAGTTCTTTGTACAGTGGATTGGAGTGAACCAAAATACTGGTATACAAAGTTTCTTTTGTATCAGATAGGAGTGTGTCATTACATTTGTATCATCAAGTTGGTTTGTGGTTTTTGTAAACAAGACTAATTTCTAATCTGGCATGTTTCCTTTTGTTTTCAAAGATGATCCAGAAGGTGCCTTTGTTCCACCAGAATTTGATATCACCGGTAACACTTTTGAGGCAAGTTGATAAATTTATCTGTAAAATAGAGGGGGAGGTTAATAGTTTTAGTACCTCTGGCAATACCAAATGCTCAGCATTCTCAGTGTATAATTTTAGAACTTGTAAAGATTGTGAGTAGTAAATGGTGCTATTTAGATATGTTTTGTGAAAATAAAAAGTAAACTTAAAATGCCATATTAATTTTTGGCATAAACATTTGTTCACTAACTGTTAAAATGTGAGAATCTATTTTGGCTGAATAATGTGTTACACTAAACCACAGCTGGCCTATATTATGTTCACTGGTACCCTTCACTGGTTACATTGGCTTGTCTGGGGACTAGCCATGAACTTTTATGACTAAATATAAAATTTGTTTGCTATCCTCTTCAATAAAATAATTCAGGGAAGGGTAATCAGCAATTTTATCTTTGATTTAATGAAGAAACAGATTACTGTCTGTTGCTTTGCAATGCACAAATGCTCTACATTGTTAAGTTAAATTAGATTTAAATTGTTTATACTAATTCATTAGCCTCCCAAGTCAACCATCTCATTGCCTGCTAAAGGAGCACTTGCTTGCTTAATATCCTTTTTCTTAATATATTATTTTTTCTGGCATGTATTCTTAGATAATTCAAATGCTTTAACTAGCAACACATTTAATTCAAGGTATATTTCAAAAATCTAGTTCTTTGTAGTTTGAAACAAATATCTTTTTCTTTTCAGAGTTGTAGCCTTCATAGTCATGTTTATAGTTCTCTGTTTCTTGATGGGGAAGTGGGAAGGAAGAGGAGGAGAAGTGAACCTTGGAAGTGTGAAATACCACATGTTAAATGAGAATGATAAGGCAGGAAGGGTGGTAGAATAGAATATGAAATAGTGCAGTCTTTGAAGATTAAAGAGGCAAAAATTCAGAAATTCAGTTGTTCCTATGCTTTATTAATGTATGTACATATGCCAGCAGAGTTCTAGTGATTTTGTGCTCACTCTCCTCCTCATCCCCATGATAGTTTTTGGGGAGTCTTTCTTTGAGGACAAGGATTGTTAAGAGGTGGCCTGCATTCCCTGTAAACTTGGTGACTGTAGAAGCCTTTATATTTAGATGTGGTTGAGGAAAACAAGCCCCAAAGGTGACTGGTTTTTGTTTCTTTCTTTTTGTTGTGCTTCTGAAGCTGTACTAAGGATTTTATGTAAATATGTTCTTCATCCCTTAACAAGCTTCCAAGACTTGACACAGAAATGCTTACAAGGTTTGCGGAATTATTTGCTCCTTTGGCCAACTGATTTCCCCCAACCCTTTTTCCTTGCCTAGTAGATGCTGAACTTGTCTGCATAAAGTAAATAGATAGACTGAAAGAGGTTCAAAGACCAAGGAGATGGAACAAGGTGAAATAGGAATTTGGGAAGACTGTGGTAATACTTAGTGACCTGAAATTTTAGTTCCATCTGACAAAACCATTGTATTCCTTTTGGATAAAATGCATCTGTAAATAGATCTGTTGTTTAACTCTTCTCTTTCAGCATGTACAGGCCTGTTAAACCCCAGTGAGTCCCAATACCAAGCACAGCACAATCAATTAAACATTCAGTGAAAGCTGTTTGAGTCAGGAGTGGCTCTGAACATTGACCGTTTTACTCTTTTTGCAAAGGTCAGTGAAGATACATGAAAGTACACATTTGTGTGAAGAAGTTGACATGCTCTGCCTTGTCTCTTGTGGCATGGGCTGAGTGCACTGATTTCTGTAAGTTGCTGCTATCTCTTCATCTAGCAAGTTGGTAAGCCTTCCAAAGTAGGGAGAGCAGGGCTATGACAGTGTCCTGTTGCCTCAACTGTTTTTCACTGACCGCCCTAGAGCAATACACAAGGCAGAAAAGCAAGGGCTTTCCTCTGCATTAAGGCAGAAATGTATTGTTTTGCTCTGGGATTTGTGTGCATTCGGTCAGCCATCTATGGGATTCCGACTATCTGTGGAACTTTCAAAGCTTTACTTCTTACCATGTGTAGAGTTTGGTCGAATTTTTAAGTTTTTTAGTACCAGACCAACTTCTGCCAATGATTCCATGGTGATCTCCGCTTGGTTTTACTTTTGCAGATTCCAAGACCTCCAGTAGGTTAATGCTTATGTACTTGTTTCAAGGGTTTATAATACTCTAAATCTTTCCAAGTTAGCCATTTCCTTCTTGGTGTTAATACTTCAAGTTCTTCTCTTTTCCAAAAGTATTGAGACTTTTGTCTATCCCCTTACCCCTATTATAACCTTTTGCGATTGCAGTAGCAGAATAGTAGTGCTTTGTATACATCTCCTGGCCTGTTGTGTTTTCTCAGTGTTATGAAGTTCTTTGATTACAATAAGCTGCCCTTTATACAGGGGTGTCAAGTGTCTTGTATTAAGTGCTTGCTCCTTCCTTGGTGATGACTTGACTTGGTTCTTCTTTGTTGAATTTTGCAGCTGCTTGGTCCGCTTTGTTTAGAACAATGGCAAGTAATGTTTGTATTGAAACTGTCTGATTTCAATATAAAGAGAAAAAAATTGGTTTTGGAACTACTAAGTATGTTCAGGATGATCTTTGATAGCTGTTACTCTAGTGTCAAACTTGGCTGATTTAAAATAGTTATGTCAGCCAGAGGTTTTGCTTGATTTGAGTGCGACCTATTTTGTGGCTTCTAAAATGGATGCACACAATGAGATCTGTATGGCTACTGGATGACTTCTTCCCCTTAAACTCTTCTTTTAAAAATCCTTCAATTAAAGCTACAGTTATTTCAACAAGAGATGTTTTGTTTCCTGCTTGGTGAATTACTGATCCAGACCTCTAATGGTATTGTGACTCCAGCCTAATTAGTTGCTAAACTTAGCTGGCACTCACAAGCACACAAGGGTAATAGACACAGGAAACAAATTGAAATGCATTACTGTCCTGGTGTCTGAAACAACACTATTAAAGATGTCAGTTTCTAGTTGGAATTTCAAATAGCTAGAGATCTAAAGCTTTGTCCAAATGACAATGCACAAGACTGAAAATTAATTGATTTCATGTGGTTGGTTTTAGACTTGTGCCTTCTTTCTTGATGTGCTCTCCACTTGTAAAGTAGGAATAATAGCACCAGCTTCAGTTACTGCTGAGAGTTGGAAGCCCTTCAGTTTTCAGTATAAGGTGTAAAATAGACTTTTTAGAGAGAAGCATGGTTGAGAAGGAATTAGCTGTGAAAGGGGCTTGTGGTACTGACAGTGAAGTGCAGCTGAACTTTCCATGGTGACTTTAGTGCTGCCACAGTTCCATCCTCTGGGCCTGGAGGAAGGATTGCAGTTTCTGAGCAACTGAAGAGACCTTGAAATCCCTGTGTTGCTAAGTAGTTGGAGTGGCATTGAGTAGGGCAGTTCTGGAATGTTCTCCTCTTCCGGGTGTTTGCGTGGTTGCAGTACAAGGACAGAAAGGCAGCCAAGCAGGTACAGCACTGAACTAAAACAGATAATCTCCTGCCTATCTGTTCATGTTATTTTTTTCCTCTAACTGTGCTATCTCCTTACAGACTTCCATGACCATTGTGCTCTAGTAAATGTACTGTTAAGAACTGATGCTGAAAGGAGAGAGAGAGAATAGGAGTTACACTTTAGAGTTATGATCCATACTGTAACTGCCAAAAAAGGTGAATTTCTGTACAGTACACTTAGTATCATTTGCACTTCTTTTTTTAATGCAGATGCAGGCATGTGATATAACTGTGCTCTGTAAGTTTTCAGATGACTGAAGCTGTCATTTGCCTGTATTGATAGAAATATCTCAGTTTCTGCTTTTCCTCTAAGCTGGAAGTTGTGCCTTAATTTGCTATTGCAAGTATTGACCATGTCTTTGTTCTCACTGAATCTTGAGCTAGAAGTCCATTAGAGACATCTGGATTATAGCGATTAGTGTCTAATTTTATAATTTTCTACTCATCATACTGTAGAGAATAACAAAGAATGTGAATTTTTCTGTTCTTCAAAGACAGGAAGAGGCTGAGATGCAAAAATACATATTTGAGACTTCTTCTAAAATTTGCCCTGATTTTGCCTTCTAAATAGGAAGAACTTCAGCCTTTTTCCTGATGAAAATGGTTCCTATTTCATTTTCTTGCCCTGAGCAATACTGTGTTAGACTTGTGAAATTTGACCAATGGGAGGCTCAACATGAATAGTTAAATATTGTTGAGTTCATTAATAGCCTTACTTCTATCACTACAATACCAGATTGCCTCAGGTTAAAAACATTGGCTGTCTCAAACCAGTTTCAAATAGCTATTTGTCTGCATCACAAAACTGCCATTGAGTCTCACACAGAGGTTCATTGATGTGGAACACCACATTTCTAAGATATGAGCTTTCAGTGAGATGAAGGACCGATGTCCACCATGTGTGAGCTTGCATTTATAATCGTTTAATAATGTGGCTATTCAGTTTTGCTAGTTCTAGTGAATCTTTGTAATAGAAATCAGTGAATTTTCACTCTTGTCTATTTTTTTTATCTAAGGGAGATTGGATAATACTTCTGTTAATAACTTATTTCAGTATTTGGAGGTGGTAAGATGCAGTAGTTCAGAAGCCTCAGTGTGCAGCAGGATGAAAACCTTCAAAAATTAAAAGAACCGAAAAAGTGATACAGAGTTAAGTACTACCTTGAAGAGAAGGATGGGTTAGTGAAGGGGAAGAAAGTGAAGTTCACATTGCCTCTTTTTCTCATCTAGAGCTTGTTCTTGCTTTTATCTATCAGGACAGGAGTGGGGTGTGCTGATATCTCACCTGTGAGAGAGTCACAGCTGGAAGAGGCTGAATGCTGTCGCTATCTTTGTTAGAATGTCATGACTGTCAACTTGCAGTTCTCAGTGGGCTGTAGTTGATTTATATTATATTTTTAAAAAGTCCAAGTATTTCAGCAACCTTAAAAATAAACAAATGTACATGAAGTGGTAGAAATGCTGCAAATAGAAAAGATACAAAATAAAATGTTATTACATTGGTTTTGAATACTAAATTATTAAGATTCATATAGCTTATTCCTATGAAATGTGACAAGGCAGTTGGAGTGATAAATGCAATATACATACGAATATTTTATGTACATATAAATGCACGGGTTGAAGTTTCAAATGAAACATAGTGTTCTGCAGAATAGATAAAGAAAGGTTTAGGGGGTATGTGTATGTATATATGTATGTCAGGCCTACTGAAGAAAACTCAGCTGACAGTTTCATGCTGCAGTATTTCTCAGTACCTGATCATTACTAACTGAGTGCTCATGTCTCAGCTGTTGGTCCTTCTCTAAATGTGAAAGCCTTCATCTTTCTCCCAAATCCAAACAGCAGACAGTATAAAGGAAGTCTTGTCTTTGTGACTTTGCTAGTCTTTTAAAGCAGTAGCTTTGAATACTGTGAGATTATCTCTATTGTTCTATCTTTCTTTTGCTCTCAATGCAGGATGAAAAAAGAAAACTTTTATATGTTCTCCTAGATGGGATTTTGGTTTTGTGTTTATCTGACAGGGGAAGCAAGTCTTTTGAAACACCTAGTGCCTTTTTTCTTCAATTCTGTTTCCCTTAGTGTCATGTAGCCTCCCCTTGAGACTAATTCTATCTAACAGCAGCAAGGCTTGTCATCAGCAAATGGTAACTTATCTCCTCCTGTAGTCTAAACCATTCGATCTTCTGAGTGTTATTTAAAGCTGTCTTTTCCTTCAGTGACAAAAATAAATTACTTTCATTTGTTACGTCTGCCTCTACTGTGCTATAGAAGAGAAAATGGAATCTTCCTGTTCTTACTTTTACATCACCCATCCCCGTTGAGGTCCCTTTCAGGAACTTAGGACTGAGCAAACACCCTTTAGATGCTTTACACAAAGGAAGAATGAGGCCAATGGAATTTTTTTACATCAGTCTTTTTTTTTTTTTTTCCTTTTAATGCATAGGCTATCTTAAAGTTTATAATTTGGTTATCTCAAAAACCTACAGCTTGTTGCTTAGTCCTGAAGTCGGAGTTGCAAAGTTGTCATATCCGTCTTGACATTATTAAAGTTAAGATATATAATTTTTCCCCTAAGATTTCTGAAGATTATGCCCTGATGTATAAAAGAATTTTTAAATTATCTTATTTAAGAATTTTTGTTTGGAAAAGAGAGTGAAGAGAGAACTTTGTGTTCTCACTTAAAAGAGGTGTTTTTTGTTGTTGGAATTTACTTTTTTGAAGCCTGAAGTGTTGTGTTGGATAAATTTGTGAGTAGCTTCCATCATGGGCAAAAAACTATGGCAAAGAGAAGAGGTTGTTTTCTCCTGTTACACATGCACAATGTCATAAATCTCTGGGCTTCTTAATGCTAAAGATGCACAGATGTTTTGGATTAATTGTTTGTCTCCAGCCTCTTCCATGTAAACTCATTGGTGCTGATACTTTCGCAGCTATGGATGAAGTTATCTTCTTTAGTCCTCGTATCATTATCTGTCAGTTTCTGGTGCTGCCCATTCAAACTCATTTCTTTGATGGATCCATCATCATACTGGTCTTACTTGCAGAACTTAGTTTTCTCTGGTCCTTTCCACTTATTTCCATCATTTACTCCTTGGAATGGTTAACAATGCTGTTGAAATGTAATCCCAAACCCTTAACAGCACCATGGAATTATGCCTTATCATTAATTTTTATCAAAAGGCTCCTCTTTCATTAATTTTATGTCTGTTTTATGTGGATATTCAGGTCACTGAAAGATCATTGCTACTCTGGATCAGGATAATTTATACTCCCTGAAACAATGGCAATTAATTTTTCCCATTTGCACGAACTGAAAATAAAACCATTTCACCAGTGTATGAGAACATTTATAAATACCACTATTTCTGAAAGGTTCAGGAAATGATTGACTTAGAAGTAGATGGTAGATGCCTTCTTAATCTCCAGATAAAGTTTCAAGACTAGTTCAGTTTCCCTTGTGAATTAGATGGTTGTAGAGGATTAGGTTATTGAGATTTAGTCAACAGAGCCTTCAGGATTGTGACAAAATGGTTGTCACTCACATGTCACCTAAAAAAAACCACCCAAACAAAAAAAAAACCATCAAAACCACAAGCCAACAGACAAACAAAAATCCCCAAACAAACAAACAAATACCCTAAAGCAAAAAAAGCCCCATAAAACAACCAAAAACCCCAACCAAATTTCTTCTTTCTCTTGACTGTAATACTGCTTCTATGCTTGAGTAGAGAAGGAGCAAGGTTTACTTCTGCAGAAAACATTCCCCTGTGAAACAATCAAACTAAAAACATAACCAGTCTGAAATCAGCCCCCAACCCTCCTTCAGCAAATGTTTACGTTCCTGTAATATACAATGAGAGCTACCTACCTTGGCTGCTTCTGTCACCTCCAGCTGTTCTGTGAAAATTGGTGTTTGGAATGTTGTCAGAACAAGATATTATGCAGCGAGGTAAATATAGAAGTGTCTGACCAACTTTTTACATTTTGCAGTTCATCTTATATATGATCCTGATAGGGGAAAAGAATAGAAATCTACATAGATTATTTTGTTAAGGAAGAGTTAACTGGTTATTGTACAGTAATGAATATTTTATGTGTCAGAGTCTGGTTGTCATTGATTCACGTCATGGTAAAAGAACTGGAATGCTATTCTAGTGTATTGGCCTACACTAGAATAGCATTCCAGTTCTTATATGAAGTGTGTTCTTATATGAAAGTGCTGCAATTCAGGTTTTTACTTCCAAAATCTGTAATAAGTACCCCTCAATACAGAATGATGTGAATGCATTACTCAGAGTGATAGACTTTACCAGTAGGCACCGTCTTTAAGGTTTAAGAGTAGGGTTTTTTTTAATAGCATACTTCAGTACTATGACTCATATTGTATTTGCTATAAAATAAAATAAAAAAATCCTACACAGTTGAGAGAAGACAGAGCCAGTCTGCTCAGCATGTATATAACTGTTTCTCAGGCTTCCTTGTTTCTATGCCTACAGGGAATAAGTTGTGTTACCTTAATTAAGTGATAAATTAATTACCTACGGCAAGTAACTTAAAAGTAAGGAGGTTAATGGCTGATAAATCATAAGGAGAGCTGTTGACACATGAAACTCCATTTCAAAGGGAGTTTTTTAAGAAAAAACATTGTTCAAGAAGCTTTAAAGATAAATGTGAGTAATTTCTGCTATCTAAACCTCTGAGGTCTTCAGCAGAGTTGTTTTTTTTTCAGCATTCTTCCTTACCTGTCATAATTATACTTATTCAGTCATGCAGGAGAGGAGTCAATTGGTGTGCTAATCATTTGTGTTGGGGTGCCTGATCTTCGTGATTAAGGGAGCCTAAAAGTGGGATGGAAGTGTAAGAAACCTGTTCTTAATTTGTTTCTTCACTCTGCAAATACATGAGTAATTTCCTGCAAATAGCATGGTTTAAATTTTACTCAAGATTCTGGGCATGTTCATCTTCATGTGACTTCCAAGAAGAAAATGAATCTTTACTGAGATAACAGTCAATGGCTTAAGATAGATCTGTCTTTAGTACAGATTTAGTGCTGTTAAAGTAACAGCAGCTTTTTGAAACTGTATTGAGGTCCATTTGAAAAATTTGTATTTTTTTTTTTCATTTCTGGGTATAGCTTTGAATTGACAGTATTCCTTTACAAAGTGATTACTACTATAGATGCTAGCAAATTGCTCTATGGACAACAAACAGAGCCATATGGAAAGCCAAATCTGTAGCTGTTAAAATAATGTTCGCAGGTGCACAGACTGTTGTAAATGTATCTTATGATTCATTAAAAAAAAAATCTTATGTCAAAGAAGACCTGAAAAGAAACCCCTGAGGTTAGTCAAAAAATATGAAAAATCTTACAAAAGAATGAAAACTTGATATTTTTCAAATCTCTCAAAACACAGAAATGCTACCCGAAGTCTGCAATGTTTGCAAATGAATAAGATACAAAAGAGTTTTTCAAAGAAAGCTATAGCCAAAAAGCTATGTCATTTTTTTGAACATGTTTTAATCTTGTAGGACCTTCAATAGCTTCATACATTGCAAGTCTTCTTTATGGAGAATTATCAAAAATTTTGCTCAATTAAGAGTGTCAGAATAGACTAGCAACCAACCTGACAAAATTAGCAATAGCATAAATTTCCAGGACCAGATGGTGAAACAGCATTCATAAAAGAAACAGTTACTTCACATAATATTCTTTAGCTGGAGGACAATGCCCTGAGGGAGAAGCTCTGCTAGAAATCTGTGAGGTGTGCTGTGGCAGCAGCCATGGAGTGTCAGCTCTCAGAAATGAAGAAGTTGGTGGCAACAATGAGATGTACATAGGTGGATTCAAACGAAATGCTGCCTTTTTATGCTGTAAAATGTGGAAATTCTTGCTGCAAAACATAGATGCAAAAAGGCTGCATGTGGCTAACACTTAGACAAATTAATGGAAATAAACAGTTGGCATGAACTGTTACAAACAAGAAGCCTGCAACTATAAAACTAAGATTAGGTTAGTTTTCCAAGTAATGTTTCTCAGTTCAAACTGGATGATACAAATAGAGGTCACCAGAAGCCAGAACCAGTAAAATGCAGGGACTAGGTGACAAAGCCTTGCTTATGCCTTGTAATATAAACTGATGACCTGATGTTTGCCTAACAACATATACAAACTTGAAAGCTTTCACTTACTTTTGTTAGGTTAGTTAAAAGCAATTTGAGAGTTAAAATACCTGCAGGTGAGAAAATCTGACCTGTAGATGCATTTTGGGCCCCATTTTTTTAGAAGTCTTTTGGGGACCAAGTTTTTTTCAGGCAAGGTTAACTGTAGTTAGAAGGGACAAACTGTACATTCCAGTATTTGTTAACCACTTCAAGCTGGACTGTCTGTTTTGTGAATAGTCTACAGTTGCTGAGCACTTCTAGCACACTCTGCAGACTAATTATGAAGGTATCCAGAGTGCCAAATGAACATAAAGCTAATTTTTGATACAACACCTTCCAGTAATTACAATTATGCAGAAAGGCATTTAGTCCATTTGTAATGAAGGAAAGTATTGGAAATAATAGACCTATTTCCCTTTAATTTTCTCACTAAGGAATATTACTGACTTTCTTTTGCATAAAAATAGTGCATTTTAAAGTGACTACATAGAAAAATGACATAGGTAAATATTAAATGTTTTCTCTCAGTAGTAATTTTCACAAGCATTACCTTGAATTTCTTTATAAAACTTTGAGGCTTAATATCACACTGAAGCTTTCTTTTATGGAACCCTTAAATGCCTTGAATTGTGAAAGGGTGGAAGTAGTTATATCTGTGCAATCTCAGTAAAAAAAAAGAAAAATACACAAAGTAAAATAAGGGTCAGATAAGAATGTCAAAACCAATTACACAATTTCTATAACTCATCATTTAGTCAGAAATATTTTCAGGAAGTATTAGTTGTATTATGGCCTGTCTTTTTCACTTCTTTGGAAGACCTACAATTCTGAACTTAGTGCAATCTCAATACAGAATATAAATGGCCATTGTTCATAATTGCTACATGCTTGTGCAGTCACTATTCAAAAGCTCTTTTGTCAGCTTTTTCCTGTAGTGTTTGTCTGCAAATGGGAGTTTCTGGAGAAGTTCAGTTCTTTAGCTCTGTCAAGCAGTAATACAACAACGCCTCTGTCACGCTCTCTGTGTAGACTTGGAGCTTTCACTTCCTCTCCTGATATTTTGATTGGCAGATTTTAAAACTAGAGCAGATCATTATTGTTCTCTGATTTCACTTCACAGTGTTAAATGATTATAAACTGACATGCAGCAAGGCAAGTAACTTTTAAGTAGAACTTGCAGAAGCCTTTTGGAATGTTTTCCAATTATGTTATAGAATTATAACATGATGGCAGAAGCTTTCCTTGCCCTTGGTAAGTGCTTCCAGTACTTAGCCTGATCATTTAAAAAAAATGTAATATCTTCACCTTTTTAATTACCTTTTTGGGATTTTTTGTCTTCTTATGCCTTTGTGTCGTGGAAACCACTCTAGTATTAAAAGTTATTTTGATTTGAAGCTACTTGTATGATCATGACCTTCAAAGTTTTCTCTGGAATATGTGAGTTCCCTTGTTCCAGCCTGTTGCTGAAAGAAGGACTTCTATTACCTCAAATCATAATTACTCTGTTCAAACTTTTTTTTTTTTTTTGTGTTGCCATTGGGATTGTTAAAGGGCACATTATTTCCATAATGGCCTTCCCAGTAATGCATACCATAATGGTTTACCTACAATTCTTGTTGTGTTCGCTGGCTTTGGACTAAGAGGATATGCATTCTCTAGGACCAAATCTGGAGAGCTGGTTTCCTAATGTGACTTCCCCCCTTTCCTTCCATCCTTTCTGAAGCTGACACTGTGGTGCAGTCTTGCTGGCATAGTCTGTATATTTTTGTAACAAGTGACATTTAGCCTTTAATTCCTGAGCCTCCTTAGCAATTTTGAAGAGATTGCTTTGGGTTTGTTTGGTTTTTCTTTTGGATCTCTCTGGAAATGCATGCTATTTATCAGCTATTAAATTATTACCCTGTAACGAAAAATGCTCATAATTCAAACAGCTTTTCTTCTTATTTACATTTAAAACAAGTGGGTGTGAGGGGTTTTCTTGAGGGGGAATGTTCTAATGGATTTTGGTTTTGTTTCTTTTTGTGGTAGTGGTTTTGCTTGGGTTTTTTTCAGAAATTAAGGAAAAAAGACCTCTTAATTATTTAATAAAATTCCTAACAGCCAATTCAGTCCCAGAAGAAAAGTTTTTTGCCACCCTTTCTTATTTGTTACTCTCCATAGAACAGGCTGAAAAGTCTTTAGCTTGCTTGTGAGATTGTTTTCATTGAGAGCAGTCACTTCTAGTAAGCGTTAGGTATTTTATACTCAGGAATTTACTTTATTTATTGCATATCCCCATCTTGCTCTTCTTTCCCAGGAAGTGAAATTTTCTTCCTAAGCCCAGCTGTGCAGTTAAGAAGCTTTTTGATGCATTAACTTGGGGAATGCCCCACCTAGTGGATGATCGTAAACGCATTTTCTCATTGCTCCATTAGGACACAAGGTTACATTGGATTACCTTTAATATTACCCGTGTTTACTGCCAGCTTGGGAAATTTATTAAATAGCTGGGTTTTCTTTCCCCTTTTACTTGTGGGCTGATGGTGGTGGTGTTTGGGGAGCTGGAAGAGGAGAAAGGTAGAAGAGGGATTTACATGAAAGAAAGTTTCAAGTTGAAAAAGTTGTCCACATTCCCTATAAATGTTTTAACACAGAAATTAGTTACAAGCTATGGTGCTTAAAATGGCCATTTGCAAAACAAGTTTTCCTGCCTTTCAGAGGAAAGGAAGTGCTTAAACAGAGCAACTTTTAGTGTGTTGGGGAAAAAAAGATCTTACTTCAGTTTTTTTCCCATCATCTTGTTAGTGGACTATTTGCTCAGGCTTCATAGTTTTGTATCCTTTTACCAACGTGGTCTGTTTCATCTTACCAAAAAAATAAAATCATTCTGGTCTGTCAAGGCTGTGGTTCAGTAGGGCTGCTGCCACTGAGTGGGTTATGGTAGTTTATGTGGCACAGGGAGCGGGGCCAGGGGAAAAGGAACCCTTACCTTTGGAATAGATGAACGGCCTTCATTCTTCTGCTAAATCAAAATAAAAATCATAACAGTTCCTGTCTTAGTTCCTCTGAGATTCTCAAAACTCTTCAGCTGCCTCTTCTGCTTAATGATGAAGTTGTATAACAGTGAAGAACTTGAGACTGAAATTATTGCATTGAAAAAAAAAATCTTTTCTGTCTAGATCAGATGGCATATAGTCTGCTTTTCTGACACTTGTCCTAATCTTGATGTGTCCCAAACATGAATCAAAGCTTCAGAGCCAGCAGCCAGCACTGGTTTATGTGTTCTTGGTTTGGGGATGGCATGGAGGGGAGAGGGGAAGAGAGGAATTGTTCAGTCTCACATATCTATATGTCACATATCTATCTCTTCCTGATAGGTGGTGTTACATGTCCCTTCATGGAGGTGTCCTGCCTCACTAAAAAGTAAATCTAAAAGCATACCTGTGGAAAAAGTACAATTCATACAATTTAGAGACAAAAACACACCTTAATGATAAAGTGGGTGGAGGAAAGAAATTACTTTTGATCTTCAAGTCAGTCTTCTTTCTAAGATAAGAAATGGTCAAGTATGTAGCAAAGGCATTAAGACCAATTTAATGTAGAAGTGCAGTCATTATTCTATTTATGTATGTATCTGTAAACCTCAGAGGGCAGTGTTCAGTACATTTGAATTCCTGGCTATGCTGCATCACCATTGAAATGTTTATCCAAACTTGCACTTATATTTGCTTATAAATTTTACACATTTTATGAATATGTTCTATGAATGGAATACAAAATACAGACCATCATGGATAAAATACCATTGCTTAAGCAGATCTGAAAAAGTATTTCTAAATTTTTTTTCTTTTTTGTTTTTTCCCCAAGAAGCAAGATACTTCTAAAATTAAGAGGTAGCTGTATTGTGTGGGAAATCTACTGCATTTAGCACTAGATTTTAAAAAGTTGCTGGTTCACCTAACCCTAACCCATCACAAGGATGTGGGCTTTGAGAGAAGCAGGGGTGGAAAACACAGAGTATTCTTAAAAGCTCTTTCATAAGGGTCTTCAGTGACAAGTGGTATTATGCTGTATTTTCTCTGCTCCTTTATGCTTGATAGCACTCATAAAATATTGCTATAGAGAAAAGGGGTTTTTTCAAATAAATATTTTGTTTCCCTGCTAAGAGGAATGTCACTTCAATCTCCCTTCAATCAAACTTTTTAGCATGCTTTTAACTTAAACAATACTTACACAAACACAGGGTTCTCAGTTTTATATTTAATTGTAGCCTGGTATAATACTTGTAATACTGGTTATTGATGAGGGGAAAAAAGAGTTCTAATTGGACCCCACAAGATTTCCTTTTGTTTGCAGCAAGTATATTCCCCAAAGCAGGTCTGAAGCTGGTTTTATTCATCATGTTTAAGTTAAACCACCTTTCCAGTAAACTGTTACATTAAATTTGAGAATAGCGTAGGCTTGCATGATCTTGAAGCTTTTGTGGCAGGATGGAAAAAACTGGTAACATATTTAATGTCTTTTTTAAAATTCATGCAGGCACACATCTATTCTTTGGGTGCAACACTGAAAGCAGCAATAGAATATATTGTAGAACCTGAGACAGAATCAGAATTCGGACAAGATCTGCACACTCTACTGGAACAAATGCAAGAGGAGAATCCTGAAAATAGGCCAGATATTGAGGTAAAACAGCCCTACATCACTTTTTGGTTTTAAAAAGTTGATACTAATACTTCTGTATGTGTGCTTATTAATCTCTATTTATCTCATTAATCTCTGTTATCAAGATGGTCTTGATAAAGCAGTATGCTCAGGTTTTGCAAGAAAGCTGAGGTCTTCTCTGACTCTGCAGAAATTCATCCTTTTCCCCACTCTAATGGATATACAACCTGAAAGTAGATGTACATGTTTGACAGTGCTTGGATTTTTAAGAAGATTGTGTGAATACACTGATGTATCTAAATTTTCTCATTAACTGTTTTCTTCCCATTTAGTATTTGGTTTGCAGAGAGACAGATTGTCATTAGAAATAAAAGCACAGGCATTATGCTGTGAAATTTGTGTGATAATGGGATGGCATTTATGAAGAGGATGTAGGGACCCTGCCCCAGAAAGCCTCTGTTCCTTGGCATGTTTAAAGCAGTGTTGTTCAAAGCATTACTACTAACTAGTTTTTCTGTAAATACATAGAGGCTGAGATATCTTTAATGGATTTTGTATTTTATTTCATTTAGCCTCTTATTTTACCTTTAGCTGTTAGAAAGAATTTGAAACTATATAGGATTTTTCATGCTGATGTTTTCAAAGAATTTATGTTCTAAATGTTGGTTACCTGATAGAGTTATTTAACATTAATGTGCAGAAGTTTAACTTTGATGTTTTTGCAGACTATGATAATGTCTTTTTTTTTGGGGGGGGGGGGGGGGGGGGGGCAGCAGTGGGGTAGGGAGGGTGTGGGTTTTTCATTTTCCTGAACTGATAGTGTATATTCTAAATGTATAGCACCTATGATCAATACTTAGCAGAAAGAGTGCTGCAACAGAAGAATTAACAGATTGATTTTTATAAAGTAAAAAATATTGGCTCCCTGACTGAGGACTGCACAGGCAGGAGACCATACCTGAAACACAGCCTGCTTGGTCAGCTGCTCTATTTCTATTCATTTACTGTTAAGTTGTCAGAGGAGGGATTATATAGCCTTCTCTCATCTCTGAGTGGTCTGTAGACCCTGAAAGCTGTTGCTGACTATTGTAATCATCCCAAAAATAATTGGTCTTCGGTAATATATAAAGGTCACTTTGTGACTTTGTGAGTAGGTTCTTTCTGTTCCTTTTCCACTGAACACTTTCTTGGGTGAACAGAGTTGTGGGAGCTATTTGGAGGGAAAGCCCCTAGACTTTTCTAGGTATTTTGCTAGACTTCAGCACAGCTGGATACCTGTCTCCCTTTTTTCTGTCGTTCCTCAACCCCATATGCGAACCAACAGGGCCCATTTCTTCCTTCCATGCACAACAGCAGAGGAGGAGTTGAGTTGGAACTGCTGAACGGGGAAGTGAGAGCATCTCCTAAGAGCTGTATGAGGTCTCACCAGTGTTTATCTAGGAATAGTTACTGAGAAAATGGTGGGATGTATTTGGAAAGGCAGGTCTCTTCTACATCCTGCCCAAAGGGGCAGGTTTTTAAATGTGTGAATATCTGTAGTTAATTATGTGTGAGACCAATGCTAATGCCATCAAATAGTGCCCAGGCTGCAGATTAGAGATATGAAGTACAGTTACTTTTTGTGATCTGATAATGATTGCTTTTTCTAACTGGGAATATTGCTTTTTAGATAATTGTATTTTGCAGTTTTTAAAAGATTCAGCATTTAATTTTAATGTAATTTCAGTAATAAAAACATTCATCATCCTGCCTGTGTCACTGAATTGAAGCGAAGCATTGGCTGTTTAAAAAACTAATCAGCACTCTAGCTTTTTGCATTTTCACTATGTTATTCATAAAGGATAACATTTAAGATAATTTTTATCAGTTGTTCTTGATGTTTTAACTGTAGGCTAAAACTTGAATTGTATTAAATGACTTCATAATAGCCCATGGTAAAAACAAGAAATTAATTCAACTACATAATAGAAACACGCGGTATAAAGAATTGCAGAAAAAAGACCTCCAATGTAGCATCATATAAATTCATATGTACTGTGGGAGTTAACATCATTCATGTTAGTTGAAATTCACAAATCTATTCATTATTAAATAAGTATTTAACATTCTTTTTCTCCAGAGCATTTTGTCATTATGTGAAGAAAAAATGAAGATTGCTTCATCAAGTAATATTTGTCGAAGCTTGTCTGCTGTTGGAAGAAGAGTTCTTTCAATTGAATCATTTGGTGCTTCTCAAGGTAACAGTAAAATGTATTTAGTCTAAAACTTCAGATTGCCTGACATATCTAATGATTTTTCAAAAGCTGTTCGTGTAATCTCCTTTTATAGGTTTCTTTCTAGATTACAACAAATCATTATTAAATGTTTGTAGATTGGTGATGGGGAAACAGGGACACACAACTCTTAATTAACATAATATGTTTGAAGTGTTCCTTATGATTCAAAGTGATTTGTTCAGAAATTGAGAATTTGTGTAACATACTAAAGATATGTAACAGCAATGGCAGAAAAAGCAATGTAAAGATTTACAAGGAGAGATTAGGAGGTTTAATACACGTTTAATATAAGCATCTGTTTTTGTATCTAGATGTCTGTGATAACATGTGGAAGGGAAGAATGTGTCAGAGGAGTTTGGGATCTAAATTATATTCAAATGAGAAAAACAACATTGCAGGTGATTCGTCTGCAGTGGAAGAGGTGACGACTGCCTGTCATAACAACTCTTCTGTAGTTACCATGGTGACTGGCAGAGAAAGTGGTTTAAAGGAAATGCAAATTGATCTGGATAATGAGAAAATTCAACATTCACAACTTGCAACTCAAACTGAAAAGAGCAAAGAAGAGGACAAACACTCAGTGTATACTGACAGTTTTGCTAGTGTTGCTTTGGATATAAAATCATGTGTTATTGACCTGGAGAGAGATTGCCTTTTTAAGAAAGGTTCTTTGAGAAAAATGAAAACCTTTCCAAAGCTACCACTCGAACTTGCAGATACAAATAACTTTTTTACTTCTGTAACCAACAGTGGACCACTAGATAGGAAAAATCACTTTGTAACACAGGAGTCACTACCTCTAGACAATAATAATGAGGTTGCTTTTTCAAAGAGAAATCTCAATTCGTTTGCTGTTGGTAGTCCACCAGAAATAGAATCAAAGAATCACCAAGTTGATGATCGTCATTTAGAAGCACCATGTGTATGCACACAAGTGTCTGGCTTGAATCTAGAAGAACACATGTCACTTATCAATGGTAAAAAGATAGGTTTTTCTTCATCTGATCACAAAGAAGATTCTTCTGGTGCTACCTCTGAAGTGCTAAAACCAGCTGATATGCTAAAAGGCCCAAATCAGTCAATTGCTGGAGCAAAAATGCTAGACAACTACATGGTGTTGGAAGACTGTTCTGAAACTTTTCAAGGGTCAAATGAAAATTATGTACCACATTTTAACAAGATGGATTCAGTATTAACAACAAAACCCAGTGGGAACAGACATGGATCAAACCTAATTAGGCCAGCAGAATTAAGCAACGGTGTGATGAGTGCAAACAATAATGAAGATAATCTTTGTGGAGGCAGAGGTTCAGAAATCAAAAGTAATGAGCAGGTAGTAAAAATAAAGTCTTCGTTATATAGTTGCTGTAGTCACTTATGTGGAGATGAGATGACTTAAATACTGTGTGATTTCTTTCCCCCTTGTCCACTTTAGCATCCCAGAAAATGGAATTTTGCTAGTCTGCACACTTTAAGAGTTAATATTGGAAATATGGTGATCTCTTTTTCTTCTTAAATTAAAAAGTAAAGTGCTACAGTGAAATTTATGCTGTTGCAGAATCAACTTCCATTTTAATTTTTTTTTAACAAACGAAGTCTACTCGCTCATGTGTTAGAGCAGCATTCCTTAATAGCTGATTGTATTTGTAAGAGAACAACCAAAGCATACACATTTTTGACTTTTTATGTTACTGTCAATGCATAAATTTCACTACCTTGCAGTGAGCCTCCCAGGTGCTTAAGAAAATTGCAGAATTCCTGACTGTAAACCTGACCTCACTGAAATCAATGGCAATATCCCATCAGCTCCAGGAGGATAGTCTGCATTTTTTTTAATCTTCCATGTACATTTAAGTTTTTGAAAATTGTACATATGCTATATTCGTTCTGTGTTCTTAAATTGCTGTCTCTGTTTGTTATGTATGTTTCACTATAGAACTTAAATATGTGCACAATATGATGGGTATGTTGTCTCATGCATTAAGTCTTTATAAATAGCCAAATAACAGAGGGAGAATCTACCAGAGTTTATTGATAGATGATTGTAATATGGTCTCTTCTCTGCTCAAATAACATATCTCAGGGTGGACAAGTTTGGTCTCTGACTAGATGGTTTTCTTTTGTGCCACACTCAGAGTTGTGAACAATCCATGTGGTAGGAGAGCTGTTGGCTAAAACTGCAGGGTTGTTTATCCTTCTCCAGCTTTATTACAGCAGGATAAAAATGAGCAGCACAAACTTCACACATTTTGTTTCCAGAAATTATTCTTAGGTGAAGATGTTGGGTTTTTTCTTTGCTTGTCTAGTGGCAAGTCAGCCTTGTTCTCCTTGCCTACCAGCCCATCTTCCAGCCATCCCATACAGTGGCACTTAGGGTTATATTCAGTCTCTGTCCCTCCCTCTCTTCACCTTGCCCGAACGCCTCCTTTGGAGCACTAACCTAGAATTGCCAGGTTTTGTAATGAGCCTTTGGTTCATCATAGCTCAAAAACTAGAGCAAATTGGAGAATCTGGCCCTTTTGCCCTTTCCTGTCTCTTCTCCCTCAACAGGTGTGCTTATTGAATTCATAGTTCAGGAGGATGGTAAATGTGGATAAGTACCACATAGCATGGTTTTGCCTTCTGAGGGGGTTATTCACTCTATGCATATTGAATCCTTTATTTAGATTTTAAACCCTGCAAGTGCATTCTTCAGACTGAGAAATAATCCATTTATTGTACATGCATCCTTTTATTTTCTATTTCTGCCATCAGTTATGAATATAAGCTGAGTGTAGTGATTGGGGTTCATTTTTAAGGAGGAAAAAATGTTGAAATAAGACACATATTCTGTCCTTACCAGATTACCAGGGCAAAAGTTGAAGTCTGTATGCATAAAGGTAGTTTTAAGAAAATAATCTTCCCCAGAATTACAGTTTTCCAAAATTCTTCCATGAAATTAAAAGTTGTAACAAATCTTATTTGCTTTTTTGCAGCAGCACTTGAGACTGACACACAGAAAAGTAAACCAAAACACATTTTCATCTTATTCTGCCATTCTTCTAAAGTCTTCTTTTTCTTCAAATATTTCATCATCAATTTAAATAAAGTGTCCTTTCAGCCTAAACAGAATTTCATTCTTGCAAACAAGTAGGCTCTTATTAACAGTGGCGTTATCCTGCTCCCACTGAACTTGCAGGACAGTCACTGTGAATTAGAAAAGGTAACTCTTATTCCAGGTACCCTAATAAGCAGTGTTGTAATACATAGCATCTGACATGAAAACAGCAGGGTAGTGGTTCTTTGTTATATCAGAGGTTTATAGCTGTCTTTTCAATAGAAGAAACGCTTGATAGACTCATGCTCTGTATTATCTTTTTTAGTAAATGATTCCAGCAAAAGTTCAGGTCCTGCCACAGAAAAATGGGCTATTTAGAAAAATCTTTTTGGTATTAAACAAAAAAGCAAATATAATAAAATGTTCTTTGATTATTTAACTGCTCTAGGGAGAAAAAACCCCCTTTAAGCACCTAGGCTTCTGAAATGACTTCCTGAAATGCTGAATTTCTAGCCTCGTAGTCCTTTGTTTTCTGAAGGAGGGTCATTCATAGTTAGTAGTTGTTGAACTGTATAGCAGACTTTATTGTGAGTCTTCCTAGAGAAATGCAGTGGTTAATGTTTTCAGCTTGTTTTTTTTCTTTTGAAAAAGAGATTTTATTCCTCAGGCTTCCAAAATATAGCAGTTTTTGCCTCTGTGTTACCTCCTGACAACTGAAAAAAGTCACACTGTGCTATACCTTACATGACAGAAGTACAATTGCTGTCTCTCTCTCAAGTTCCCATTAGCCAGAATTTTACCAAATACCTTTTTTTAAAGAAAGCCTGAGTCTGAGTTTGTTCACTTACTGTAAAAGCACAAGTGTGAGGACCCAACTAATGTGATTTCTGCCTTGTGGGGTAAATAGAAAACACCTCAGAGGATTTGCAGTGCTGCTCTTTCCTCAATTCTCTATTACAGATTGGCATGATTGCAGCAGTAGAGCTTTTAGAATGGTATCTCCAGCATTCCTTTCAATATTTCATGTTGCTTAGAGAAGGTGCAATACCAGCCCCATCCGGTTGAAGATCAACCTTGTCTACTCTGGAGAACAGACAGTTTTTCTTGCCTGTCAGTACTTCTCCAGTGGACAATATTTTTCTAATACTCAAACACTGCTTCTTATTGTTGTGTGCTTTACTGCTAGTAAGCATTACTAAAAATACTTGCTTGCTTTGTCTGGCTACTGCAATGTATCTTGTGAGGGTTTTCCTAGTAATTTTTATAGTTTTGCATGCCATAAATAAATATTTTTCACTTCAAGTTTGAGTGGGGATCTTTTATTTCTCTAACCAGTTTCATTCCAATCAGGTGTGTCTCATCTCTAATCCTTTTAAATGTTTCTCTGTGATTTAAATGCTATGGCCTTTACTTGGGAAGGGTTAATGGAAACCTGGCAAATGCAAGTTTGTTTTCTGCTGGTCATTCATACCCTGTCAAGCATGAGAGAAGTGAAAAGCCATGTAGCTAGAGGCTGACACTTTAACACTGGGGAAATAACATGAAGGAAACAAAAGTTGTCAGTTCCTAGAATAATACTTGTTAAGAAAAGAATGATGAAAATCTTGCTTCGGCTATTTAAAACATGCCAGCATTATGTTCATAAAATAGATTATGTTTGCATAGTTGGAATGCTTCACTAAATTTGGGGGTTACAATTCTGGTACCAACAATTAAGTAGAAGATCTGTTAAATAGTCTTTACAGTACTGAAAAAAACTGATTGATTTTCCAACAAGTAAGGTTTAAAATACAATCTTTGGGCATAAACCAAAATGGCACCAGGATGTAGATATAGACAATAATGGCTTATCTAGCTTTTCTATATTTTCTGACAAAATTTCAATGCTGTGAAAACATTTTCTTACTTTAAAAAATGGGTAATATAATTTCTGTTACAAAAAGGTCTGGTTTAGAACATAAAAAAAATTTGGAAAGAGACATTAGATTATAATTTTGTTTCCTCTTTGGTGCACTAATGATAATATATTCATGAATGTTTAATAGCATTATTAAAATAATGGTTTAAATGAAGTGGACTTATAAATGCTGAAGAATTGTCTTGAGCTTGCTTTGCTAAAATTTGTTAGTAGATAAGTAACAATGCATGCTACAGATGGTTTGACTAAAAGCATTTAATCACACATTTTCCAGTACTTCAGATTTTTTTTCTTGGTGTTTGTGTGGGGATTTTATTTTTAAGTTTTAGGAAATAGTAATAGCCATGAATCAGAGACTTGCATGTTAAAAACCAAAACAGCCAAACCTGGGACATGCCTAATTAAGGAGCTGTACACTTACATGTTTACTAAAACAAGGTTCAGGGGAATTAGAACGTGCATCGTGTTAAAATACCTCAGAGGTGAGGTACCAGGAGCATTGCATTAAATACCTTTGTTTTACCTTTGTTTAAGGATTGAGGCTTAAATAAAAGTAGCCTCATAACCATAGGTTGAGAAGTGCATTCTTTTTCCTTTGAAAACTGTTTGAACCAGACTGCATGCATTTTTCACCACAAATGCAAATATGTGATGAAACATGTCTTGTCATGTACCTTCATTACATGGGGTAACTTCTGCAAGGTGTTAGAAGTTCCCAGCAGGTCTGAACCCTCAGTTTTCATCTGAAGTCTTCCATATTTCTCTTTCTGTTGGAGGAAGGTGGGAATTTGGAATAATTCTAGGACACTAGAAGAATGATCTTCTCAGGTGTTTCTTTCAGGAATAAAATTGATATGGTCAAGGTGAGGAGAGACATGAATTACAGTAAGAGACAATAGCAGTGCAGATATTTATTAGCATGACAGAAAACCAACTAGCACACAAATACCAGCTAACAATATTATATTTGAGGTTTCTTATTTCTTTAGAACGATTGCCAGAGAAACAATGAGTATATACATTTAAATAAAGTTCACCACACTGTAACCAGCCTGCATCCTTCTTTTTCCTGACTCAGTTTGTTTTGGCTATCCCACATATGGTAGTAATTCCTATTTATGCTAAGATTTGCTTTCCCTACGTACCTTTTTCTTCCAAAATAGAGTTTTTTTGGTGCCTCTTCATCCTCTGTTTTCTAATCTATCATTGACACTTCTGTCTTACCATAAACTTTTGCTGCTGCTCTTTAGGATTTATTCCTACTCTCCTGCCATGCCTGAATTTCTTTCTGTCATTTCTTTCTTACTCTAAAGAGCTTGGATATCCCAGAGGTGATGAGAAATACTTTGCAGCTTTCTGCAGTACGACAAACTTCAGTCTCCAGGTCACTGAGAGATTCTTCTTTCCCTGGCTAGCCATTCATCACCTTCTCCTGAAGTGAAAGGTGATTTGTATATGCAGTAAAGGAAGTCCATCTTTCTTTGCTGCAGCTTTTAGAGCCTCTAAAGACATAAACTTCAAGAGGAGGGATTCTCTTACAGAGAAACATGTGGCACTAGTGTGTACTTACTAGAAGAAAATTCCTAAATCCCAAAGCTTTCTTAATGTTTTAGTCAGTCTGAAATTTCTCTTATGGTTTCTCTTCACTCATGTCAGCTGTGTAGGGTTAATTTGAAGATTTGAGTGCTCCTTTCTTTGTCAAGTGTCTGTGAGCAAAGACACTTGAGGCACGTGAGAACCACAGTGCTCTGGAGGGGAAACTGCTGCTCAGGGATAGGAATCTATCAACAGTATGAAGCTCTTTCCTGTATGCTTTCTAGACTAATTCATTCTTTTGACTATCTGTCCTTTTCCTTCCTGCTGTGTGATTGATGGCTTTTTATCGGACTGTTCAAGAGCTTACTTTTCTAGATACAGGAAAGGAACACATGGATGAAAGAATTTTGCACTCCAGGGTGCTGGTGATAGCAAAATTGGAGAATGAAACTGAATCTTATCACCTAGCTTCAAATCTGTCTATGCTGAAGTTACTAATTTTTGCCAATATAGGATAGAAGAAGAATAGCACCAAGTTCATTTTTATCTGTTGGAGGTAGGCAGAATATGAAACATTTTCAGTAAATCAAAAGGTGTGTTTTCTGACATATTTTGTTTAAAAAAATGTAGTTTATCTGGTTCACCTTCAAAGAATATTTAAACAATATGAGCCTAAAGTATTGTGTTCTTTGAGAAGGTCTTCTGGTTCAAATTATTAGCAAAGTTTCAGCTACAGAAATTAATGTCCTTCTTTTCTCCATAGATTGCCCTGAAGCTATTTCTGTTGGTTGAGCTTTATGAAATTCAATGCAGTAGTCAGCTCATTACATATCTCATGATGAAATCCAAAGAGCATCTCAGTAAAAGGATGAAAAATTTACTTTAGTAAATGACAGTGCAGAGGCTGATTTGTCAAAGTTAATGATGTAGTGCCATTGTGTGTGGGTGAGACCCTTAGTCTATGCAGATTTCACAAATACTGATTGGGATATAAGGTGTCTGTAAAAGCAACAAAACAATTCAGAGAGTTTTTTTGTTTGTCTCCTGTGCTTCAATTTTTTGTTTAGGTTCTTTTCGGTTAGTTTGTTTATTTTTTATTTGACTGATTTTTGTTTCTTTGGGGGTTTTTTTGAGGGTGAAATGGGTTTTTTTCCAGAGTTAATCCTGAATTACTTCTGGTAATTCTTTTCCCTAAAATGGCCTGAAATTGGCTCATTCAGGACTGCATATGTAAGAGAAAATGTGCTGTGCTTTTTTTAAAAAGAGTTCTTTGGGTCTGCTCTCACTCAGAGGTTTCTGCCTACAATGAACTTTTTAGTGTTCCTTTGGTAGATGAACAGAGATCATGAAGTGCAGCTGATGTCAAGAGCTGCTACTAGAGATGAGCTTTTCCATTAGCACAATTTGATCAGGAAGGTGTGTGTGCCCTACTATAAATCTCCAATTCTTAGATTCACACAAACACACACCACCCCCAAAAAGAAAAATCACAAAATGTAAAGCATGTGTCTGAAGAACAGTAACTTTCCATGGAGCAGTATCTTTGTCACATCAAGGTATTATGCCAGATGTCAAAAGCTAAATTGGTAGTCAGAAAAACAAATGCTGTTACTACAAATTGAGCAGCCAGTGATTAAAAGCAAAACAACGTGCTGGGATTTCAAATAAATCTGTCATTAATTCTGTCAATATTGTTAACATCTTTCACAGAAGAACAAGAGATGTTGATGAAATCTTTAAGGTAAGACATGTAATGCAACTGTCAGGGTAAATCAGGTTTGGAATGTGGGACTGTTTTGTTGATGGCAATCATTTGAGTTTTTTATGTTTTTCAGTCTAGGCATTGTCCCTATAATTATGTAATTATATTTCATCATAAAATATCTCTATTATACAATGGACATTTTAAGAGTCTTTTCTTAGTATGATAAGAAAGACCTTCCAGACAGCTCACTTTTCCTGAAGGAATTAAGAAACAATTCATTTATACAGTTAGCTGACTGTGCCATGCTTTTTTAATAAATAGTATTAATTCATTACTGGTAAGTGCAATAAATATATTTTCTTGTTACTTTTTAAGTTGAGTTTTTTATATTAGGATTTACTTTTCTATTGCATTAGTAAATATTTTTAATTTGTGATAATTTTTATAACTTTCTGCATCCTCACTGTTTTTTTCAGTGGATCTCTCTAAAACTCCTGTTGTCCTGGTATGGTAGGCCTCTGAAAGACTATGAACTCTGGGCATTATGTCATGAGTGTTTATGTACTCTGCAGACTTGCATAGATTATCCAGGTATAGTCTTAATTATCATTAAGTATTTTGCCCAATTGTTTATGTTCGCTGCGTTAATGTTTCCTTTATTCTGTTGATTGAAAGGATCTTGACTTTCATTTTGTGCGCAGATATTTCTATTTTGATTCCTTTAAATTGTGACAAAACTCAATTTGGAGTTTTCTTCCATATATAGGTGAATGTCTCATATATAGGTGGGTTTTTTAAATTCTGAATCTTGATGGCTTTTGCAGCAGAAATTAATCTTTGGCTTCAAGCAATGAAACAAATTTTAGACTTCTTGGGAATGGAGAATCTGTACTTCAACTTTTAAGAAAAACACTTGTGACTTGTATCAAGCAGGAGGAAATAAGTTTTACACACACACACACACACACACACACATATATATATATATATATATGTAAACAAAAAACTTCCTCTTTTGCATGGATTTCTTTGTGACAAATGATTCCTGACCTATTTTCTACAGTACAGGCCTTTGTCATTTTAAAGTACCCAGGATCTTGTCATGGAATTAGTCCTTCCACATCCCCTATGCTTCAATTTATGGACAAATTATCAGAAATAAACTTCTGAGAGAGGAAGAGGGAACTGTCCTTTGACAAAATTAGAATATATTGTGTGCAGCTCAGAAGACCATCTTAGATTTCCATGGACATTTTGAATGATGGTTTAGCTTATACTAATGATAAACCTTTAGCAGTTCTGATAAACAGAGCAGAGGTTTTCACCACCACCACCCTTTCTTTTCCTTAATTTAAAAAAACTTGCTTTTGAGAGTATGGGCAGGGATGAGTTTGAAGCCTTTAAGTGAATATGAACAACTGGATAGTAATGTACAGAAAACTTATTGCATCTCTTTGGATTTCAGCTTCAGTTATTTTATTTCTATTATGTAAAACTGCTTAAAAGGAAATAAGCCATAAATGAAGATTCTGAACACTTTAAGAATTGTAACCCATAAAACTAAGTATTTAATATACCTTGTAAGAGAAGGATTATTTCAGCCTTATAGCATGTTCCTTATGTTTCTGAAGGTTTCAGATAACTGCACATAATGGCTCAGATTCTAATGTAATATGCTTAGCCAGCCTCTGTTACTGCTCTCTTAAAAATGCATGTCTTAAAAATATTAAAAGTTGTCATCTGAACGTTATATAGCCTGTAGAAGGGAACATAATGATAAAAACCACCAAATGGAAGGCACTTAACTTAAAAATTCTGTATTTGACAAATAAAGCTACCTTGAAGTTGAATATTGGTTTCAGATTTAGAATGTTTTTGCAAGAGGATTCTCTGCCTGTTCTGAGGAGAGTGGTGCATTATGGAAAGGTTTATAGTGGTGTTACTGCTTCATTGCCACACACACATTTAAAGTTCTCTCGGCTTTTGAATAATACTAAAGGTGAAGCTGAAACATATTCTGAATACATCTTGTAAAAAAATCCTTTGTCTTGACAATAGTAGAGTGAGACTGGTAACTGATGAGCCATGGTTAAATATATGAAGCTGGATTATTTTTTATTTATTCACATAGCCTTTTTCTCCAAATCCTTCCTTGATTACACTTTTTTCATTATCCTAAGCAGGAATTACCTGGCTAAGAAAACATATCCCAAAGCTAGCCTCTTCTTCACGTATTTGTTAATTCAACTCTGCTACAGAAGTTGTTTGTAACCTCCATTGGGACTTTACTTAATTCCTCTCCTCTTATCAGAGGATGTTGCTTACATGTTGCTCGTGGGTGATTCAGGGAGCCCAGGTGAGGATTCTTATGTTGTACTGAACAAGCTGAGATCAGGTTTGTGTGAGCAGGGCCAGGGGCATTTACTGCTGACAAACAAAGACAAGTGAGCATGAAGCTGCCTCTGCAGAAAGAACCAGCAAAGGTTCTCATTTGGGAAAGCTTTGCTTTTCAAGACATATACTTCAGGTCCAACTTAAATATTACTGAAGGTAGTAGACAAGCCTTTATGTTAAGCATAGTGAGTAATTTAATTTTATATGTGGTTTGTAGAGACAACTAAAAAAAGGAAGAATGTTACTGCCTTTTTTTCTTACTTTCTTTTTTTCCTCTTAGATCACTTCAATTAATTATTTATTGATAAATTACTATTTGTGTGTCTCTTAGACATCTTTAATATCTTTTTTCATAATTAATACCTTTAATGTTTTAATCTCTTATTCAATTTAAGAATATATTCTTCCAGTACTATTTTTTTAATAAGAGAATGGTGCATTTGATGGTAGTCTAGAAATAGAGGGCTACAGTTGGACTGCAAGAGAACTACTTACTGGCCAGTTGGCTTAATATATTAAAACATGTTAAATTGAAATGTCCTTTGAAGTTAGCAAACAGATAGACACAGATTTTCCATCTTTGCCTGAAGATTTTCAACACCAAATTTATAGGACATGATCTCCTTATCTTAATGTTAAGTTCCTGAAGACCTCAGATCATTTAAAATAGTTTTAGTAGCCCATTATTTTTTTTTTAACAATGGAAAATTTCATGGCCCTGCAAATACTGACCTATGTAACATTTATTCGCTGAGAAAGTGTGATTATAACTATTTGTGAAAAACTGGACTTCATATCCTGTTGCACCCAGAGGAGTTTTGGATCTAGCCACTTGTGTGTCAGCTTTCTCCAGATGATGACCCTCTATTTTTGTGGGGTTGAAGGAGGAGAAGAGGAGACTTAAATTCTTAGATAAATTGACTGTCTTTTATTGGTACCTTGTGAGAAGACTGGAGTATATCTACCTATTGTATTTATATTTTTGTTTTGTTTTGTTTCTTTCTTGACCTTCCTTTTCAATGCTGGGTATAAAGAGAATAAACTTCCAGGTTTTTTTCTACTTCTTGTTTTTGTTCTGCAGAAATTGCCTTGGGTAATTACACAGCTACTCTCTCTTTGTTGCCTTGTGTCTGTTCTAGCATAAATGTTATTTAAAACATCATTTATTTTAGGGTAATTTCTGACACTGTAAATTCTTCGATAAAATTATTTACTTTTATTAGTGCTAAATAGCTACAAGACAGATACTTATGCCTTGCCCTTTTGTGGTTTTTTGGGTTTTTTTTCCGCAGTGGTCTTATGTTTGGACTCTGTGCTGATTGACTGCCATGGAAGGATCCTCTTTGCTGCTCCAAAAGCTGAAGGTAAAATAAGAGATTGCATGTTCAGCTTTTCTTTCTTTTCAGGGGAAGTGGAGAAGAAAGCAAACATCTTACCTTTTGTTTCTGATTTCTTTTCTCATTTAGAATCTTGTGATGTATTTTATTTAGCTCCTGAAATTGAAGAAGAGGATGTGGATACTGAGAAGGTAATGTGGTAGGTTATGTAGATTGCTTTGTACTTTATCAAAGGACAGTTTTATCTCTGCTAGTTGGAGAAGAAAGCTAAACTCTTCTAAGATTGTGTTAATATTTCTCCCAATGTTTTCTGTGAGACTTTTTTCATATATTGATCGCTCATGAAATCAGTTGCTTCTATAATTTTTCCTTCCAGGATTCTTGGTGTAACTGCCAAAAATCTGCTATTTGATGGGTTTCCATAAGACTTAATTATTTTCAGTTTTTTAGCAGTAAGACAGGCTGCTAAAGTCTTTTAAGTCATTTTTTCACATTCTGAAGGTCACAGTAAGATCATTAACTTAGACTATCTGGGCAAAAGCCCAAGCATTATTCACACTTAGAAGACTGGATAAAAATATCATTATCAGTATGTTTTTACTTTGGAAACATTATGAATGATGTCTTTTTCCAATATAGTTTTCTTAGAGCTTTTTCCTATAGATAAAAACCATAAGGAGCTTTTAGAACAAAGATAATAAAAATGTCAAATAGCAGGTGAATGTGTCTCCACTGCAACTACTTTTGAATTGCAAACTGTACCACAGTGATCTTAAAAGTCAGGGGAACAGAATTTACAGTACCTTTCTGTTATGTAACAAGAAAAGAGATTAATTAATATGTGCCTTGTATCACATGAGTTCTTTGGAATTAGGCATAGTAATCATGAATCAGAAAATAAAAGCTCATAAAAATCTACTAAAAACATTCAATTTTCTGTAAAGCTATCTGTAACTAGAAAATATTTTTATAACTTTCCTAAATTTCTTAAACTGCTTTGATCCAATGTGCAGGTTTTTCAAAGGCTTCAGAAGCTTAAACTAACCCTGCAATATAATACAGCAGTTTCACCAGACAGTAGAAATTAATAATCCTAAAGTCTTTGTGCCTTATTTTCTTTAGAATATCAGAAGTAATCTGTTTCCTTGTTTTTCTACAACAATTATTCTATTATATATAGAATAAGCTGATGGGATTTTTTGCCTTTTTCCTGATGGCTGTATAACTTTCTAGTTATAAGCATTCAGTTCAATTTATGGTATGGAAATGAATCGGTGTAGTGTAAGTCACAATAACAGTAAAAAGAACTTTCCTTGAAGGTTCTAATGGCTTGGATGGCAAGTTTTTCCTAAATAAATTTAGGGTAATCTTGGAGTTCTAAACCTAAGGGGAAGAAAATTATTTTTATTTTGATTGAGCTGCTTTCTCCATTCCAGGTGTTTTTGTACCTATTAGTAGCTTTTTTTCAATGGTTCAAATGGAACTATTCAAAAGATTATTTTGTTTGTAGTGAACTTACTTGTTATGTTTTGTTCATTGCTGTTCCCTTTGCTCACAAGAGTGCCAGAAAACATTGTTTAATGAGAACACATTGTTTTATGTGCTTATGGTTCTGTCCATCGAGTTTTTGTAATGTCTTTCAGAGGCAACGTAAAGTGTGGTGCTTTAAATTTCTTAAAATTGCATTTGTAGTACATGCTAACATATGAAAACTAAGCCTTAAGTGGACTAAATCTGACTCTGAAAATAGTAATTATTCAAACAAAACCAGAAAGCTGGTAAAGACCAAGTCCTTTTCAAGGTCCCTCATTGGAGAGACTTCGATTGGTCTAGCTGCAGGTAGCACAATAATTGCTAAAATAAATATGCAGTGCCTCATTCTTCTGACAGGTGTAATCTTCTCTATAAAATATGACTTGTGCTGGCTAGTGCATAATTACTGTGTGCCACTTACTTGCTGAATTATCCTGACCTTTTTTAAGTAAATTGCAGCTGGCCACATGGTAGAATGCTGAAGCTTACAGCAATCTTTTTACATGAGAAAGGAATTCTTCAAAATGGTTCTAAAATACATTTTTCTTAGGTAAAGAATAAGACAATTAATGTCTGTTACTCCAACAGTAGAAAAATAGCTGCTGGTTTTGGCCCTGCATGCATAACAACTAGATTTTGAAGTGGGCTGGGATTTTCACCCTCAAAAGCCAAATGTAATCTGTACTTTAAAAACTCTAGTAAGATTTTTTCTTTTTGGCAGGAAATAGGGGGAATGTTTGGGTAATTTGCTGGAATTGTTTTTGAAGTGGAGGCTTTTTTTAGTCTGTTCAAATCTTTCTTGTCTCTTACGTTATACCAATAGGTCTGCATTTATGGTGTTGCTGCAGTTCTGTGGATGGCAGCAAAATACAGTGTTCCACTGAGTCACAAAGTAGTATTGCCAAGAAAATTTAAAAAACTACTTCTGGATATGGCAAGAAAAAACCCTGAAGAAAGACCTTCTCTAACTGCTGCAATTAAGGTTACTATATTTAGTTGTGTCTAAAGTCTCATTTTGGTATTTTTAAAAGCAAAATAATAGCTTAATACTTATAATACACTGATATCTAATTAAATCATAACCAGTCACTTTGGGTTTTGTTTTTAAAGTTACCTCCTTAGGGACACAGAGGGGCGTGTTTTTAATTTATATTGAAATTATCAAGGTACTTGGACTTGCAGAAGCTTCATAAGACTTCCTAAACTTAGATTACTTCTAATTGACTATTTATCTTGACTTTGTCCTTGTCCAAGAATACCTCACTTGATTGAAAACTTATTTACTGACTGAAAATTACAATTTTTTTTTTAGACATGCAATCATTATTTACTTGAACAAGGTGTAAACAGCAAAAGTATTTTGACATTATTGGGTAAACCCATCTTTAAGGTAAGAGTGCCACCTTTCTTTAATTGTGTATGTATTTTCAATTAATTCTATAAATGTATTCCAGTAAGATTTTGTTGCCTGCAAGTGTAGCTAGATTCTGGGTTTGGTTTTGTTGGTGTGATTTTTTTGGTTGTTTTGGTTTGGTTTTTTTTTTTTTTATGTATTTTCAAGCAGTCTGTAAGTATTGCCTTTTCCTAGTTCTTGCTGTTAGAGTGATTCCTCTGCAGATTGTGATGCTCTGACTCCACAGTCTATGTGGGTGAAGAACAAGTAACTAATTTCATGATCTCTCTTTTTATTTACCACCCCACAGAATAAATTAATATCTAATTTTTGGGTTCTGTTTGTGTTTCAAATGTGTTTCTATAAGGCACACAAGATTCAGTCAATTCATGGAACTGAGTTTATTCAAAACTTTGAGTACCAAGTTCTCAAGATTTCCAAACAGTTCTAGTAGTCCTTAGACTTCTGTATGTAATTTTTTTAATTCCTCACCTTGGCATGACTAGGTTGTTGCAATATTTAAGGTGTATGTGAGGATTGGGGTTTTTTTAAATAGTGTGCTGAGCAGAATTTGAAAAAAGAAAATACTAATAACATCAATTTGGGCTTCAATGTTTATTGTTAGGCTGTTGAGGAAGAAGTCATGTCTCAAAATCACGTCACTTTTGAATTTAAAAACGAGAAACATGAAATGGACCCTTCAGAGTCAAGTCCAGGTAAGCAGTCAGGCTCTGACATGTTTACTCTGGTTTAATACTCTCTAGTTCAGTTCTTCATGGAAGATTTTCTCAGTCCAATATGCAATTGTTTTTCTATGTAAATGAATTGTTACTTACTTTACATTGACTTTACACTTATATTTTACATATTGATCATCTTTCTGTGTTTTTGCTTTTAGGATTTGTGCCTTTTACCAGTGAAAGTAAACTTGTAGCAGTTAAAGGACCAGTACCATGCCAGATTTCACTAAATTGTGAGAAAGCAACATTACCTGTTGCATTCACCTCTCCTGCAACTCACTTTAAGCCTATTATTTTGCAACAAGATGCAAATATAACAAAGTTAGTATATCCTAAAGCAGAATAAGTTAAAGATTAAATGTCATTGTTAAATCTATTTGAATTTTCCTTTAAAAATTCTTTGTTTGTTTTTTTTTTCAGAGAGGTTCAAAGACCAGTTCCTGACCAATTCAAGAAAGAGATGAGGGAAGAAAAACATATGAACAACAACAAATCAGGGTATATAGAAGACTCCAAAAGCTGTGATATTGAGGATACAGGTGTAGTTGAAACTGTTCCTGAAACACCTGACTGCGACTTACAAGTTCCAAGCCACTCATTCCAGATGTCTTCAGAAGAGCAAAACTCAGGCAATATGTTTGCTTCTACAGTTACATTGCCATCACCATCTGATTCCTCACATGCTCTACAAGAGAAGAGCTTTTTATCTGAAGATCCCTCCAGCTCTTTAGCTAGTCCTACATCTCCTAATTTTCTTCACATAAATAACATCATTCTCAAACAGGACTCAGAGAAAAGAGTTCTGACATTTGTACCAGTACATTTGGCTGTATCAGAGCAAATACCAAATAAGCCTCTTCGCTCAAGAATTGCTTATGATTGCTATCACAGTTTGCCAGTGCTAATTTCAAGTACTATTGCAAGTTATAAAATGAGCATGCAAGCAGAAAATGATGCCTCCCTTTGCAATGTGCAAAGTCATGAGACTGCTAATACAGAGAACCACTTTGATAAAAGTAGCCCAGTTATTCAAACCAACTGCCAAGAAACTGAGTGTGCTACCAGCATAGACAGTTTTTTCACTGAACAAGAAGACACATCATGTACTTCAGTGAGTAAAGACAGCTGTAATTTCTTCAGTGATGAAGTCCTGCCCCATCAGAACACAACAAATGACACTTTACTCCAGGAAGTGATTCATCTTATACAAGAGGAGTTTGCATTTGATGGTTATTTAGAGAATGGAGCTGAAGTTTTTGATATGGGTATGTGCATTTTCTTCTGTATGTTATTATCATTGATTTGTAAGAATATTGCTATTAATTTTTTTTTCTCCCTCTTTTATTTGTTTCTGTTCTTTTTATTTTAAACAAGGTAACTTCATTTTAAACTTAAAGGGAATTAAGTTTGGTATGTTCTCTGATAGAATTTGTGAGAAGTTTTGTGACCTCTACTGGGATGAAAAGTTACTGGAGAATCTCTATCAGGTAGTAAATGGAAGAAGATCTTCACATTTATGGTAGGTGTTTTTCAACTTTGACCTTCTTACATTTGAATTTAATGCTTTTATCCCTACTTCAATAGAAGCAGGAAAGAATGTACGTTTTTTCTTCAGGTATGTGTGCTTGTTTCCTGTAAACTGTTCGTTTCACAGTTTGAGGGTTTTCAAAGCTTTCTCCATGGCAAATAATGCTTAATGGTTCAGTCAAAAATACTTTCTACCACCCTTTTCTGCAACTCCATCTTAGGATATCTGAGTCATGGAACCCAATTCTGATCAAGTATAACCATTGATGGAGAGCTTCATAGTCCTGTTAGAAGGAGACTGTTTAATCAGAAGTATATTGTTCTTACTGTTCAGTTTGTTTATTCTGTTTGCTTTTAGTTCTTTATACATCATGTGTTCTAATCTCAACCAAGAAAGAGGAAATTAATTTAGCTTTGCTAGAAATATTTTGTTTAACTGGTTTAATTTGACTCAGTGTTTTATAAGTAGCCTGTTAAGTGACAAAAACCAGCTAAATTTATTTCTCATTTATCTTATTTAATTTTCAATGACATTATGTATCTACCTGAAAAAGAATTTTAAATTCTTGTTTTACTGCAGCCTCCAAATGTAGCGCACTTTTGTAAAAGTCTCTTGCAGAAGACTGTTGAAAAATGTAACCAATTTATGTTAAAGTTATTTGGGGGGTTTTGGAACTAGAAATTTCAAGTTTTGACAAAGAATAGATAATAGATACAGTTTGGAAAAACTTCATTGTTGAAAGATGTGTAATCCTTACAGCAAATTTCAAGGATAATAGATTATGACCTCAAATACACAACCTTGGTGTGCTGGCCTATTTCCCATTTGAGCTGGGATTTTTAAGGAGATACTGAAAATTGGTTGGAAGTTAGGCCCTGAGTTCCCCAAAGTTCAGTGATATGGTAGGAGACATTGAGCTGTTGCAGCTGAATTACTGAGATGTATGAAGGGTTATCCTGTATATGAGCTTTTGTTACAAAGTAGCTTTTGACAGTGAGAGATCATAATTTATTATCCAGAGAAAAATGCAGGTCTAGCTTTCACATCACATGCAGGGCCTGTCTTAAAATATCTCTCAGACACTGCTTACTGAACATTAGTTTGACAAAGACTATAGCAGTGTTAGCTTCTTTGATTTAAGATTATGATTCTAACTAGGGATGACTTAGAGTCACTTTTATCCAGAGGTTGAACCCTGAGTGAAAAACCCACTACTTGCAGCCTGTAGTTATGCCTTCTGTCTGTGTGTGCTCTGATCCTTCTGTTGAAGTTTTGCCAAATGCTGTACAGGAAAACCTCTATCTTACTGTGCTTGAATAGCCATTTGAACATTTTTTTCTCATAACAACTGCAGCTGAACATGAAAACTTTAGGAATTAGATAAATGCTATGAAACTTTTTATGTGCATGATAGAGTCACTTGTAAGATCTCATTTTACTGATGTAAATATAAAAGTATAGGAAATATTAATTTTTCCTAGTCTCCTTGTATTTTCAGCGTAACTGAGGCAGATGAAGCAAAATGCAACAATATATTCCAAGATGTGAAGAAATCTGAAAGCTGTTTGGCAAGCAGTGATCAGACAGAGGGTGAGAAGGGACTTCATGTTTCTAGATCTTTGTGAGTGCTGGGAATCTATCAGTGTCAGAAGCTTTGAGACACTTTGCTTCTATCTTCAGGAAAGCACTCTGCTTTAACAGTTACAGACATTTTCACTGAATCTGAACATTATCAGTGCCTTAAGGACATAAATATCTTTTATATAAAGCTTACATATGACCCAATGTTATTTTGTGGGATGTCATTAACTTACTTTTATTTAAATAGATGTCTCTGTTGAAACCCCTAAGGATGGTAACTGCTGTGTGTGGTTTTCTTGTGTTTGAGTAGATATTCTAGTGTCTACTATATAAGTGGATTGTTTATTTATACTTTTTCAGTTTGGGTTTTACATTTCTCCTAACACACTTTGTGATTGAAAGTTTACAAGATATCTATCTTTCAGTAACTGAACTCAAACTGAGCTGGGACTGGTGAATCCTAATATTATAACAAAACTATTACCCTTTCTAGGCATAGTGCATTGATGGACAGCTTCTATTTGGTTGCTATTTTACCAGTGTGAGGTTTTTTTCAAGATAGTTCATCCAAATTTCAGCATTTAAACTTGGTTACTTCTCTGTTTTGAGCAAAGTGAAAATGGGTGTACTTTACAGAAGGGCTTATACACTTGTATTGTTAATTTTTATAGCAAAACATAAATTTGTAATTTTTTACTTGGCTGCTATTGCTCAATATTACAGTTTTGCATTTTGGCTCAGAATGATTACAAACGTAGAGCCAGACTTTACCATGGAGTGTGTGATTTCTTTGCACCAGGAAATAAGCTTTGTTTGACTTCAAGGTGGCATATCTAAGCCCTGGAGGGTTACTCAAGTGAAAAGGGAGACTTCTGGCAGGTATAAATGCTCCTGTCAACATTATACCGACCTTTGACTGTCACCTCAGTCCCTGAAGGCTGGCAGTAGATGCTACAACTGAAAAAAATCCCATCATAACTCAATGGATTGAGTCCTGTAGTAGTAGAAAGTTTAACATCTATTGGCTATATCAAGTATTCTTGCCCTCTCTGTATGGAATAAAAGCTTCAAGACTTACAGATGGAAAAAACCTCAAAAGCTAAACATTTTACTAATGTGTGCTTAGGTCTGACATATTTAACTTCAGTTTTAAAGTTTCTCAGTGTTGTTTAAATGCTTGTTGCATATGCATGGAAAATATTTTGTGCTTTAAAGAAATTTATTGTTAAACTATTGCTTGATAACTATGGAATTTTTTTAACCTTTATTATTTTACAATGTGTAGTTGAGAAAAAAAAAGTAAAGTCACAATAAGCATCTAAACCCACTGTTAGAGCACATAAGTAGTCTCATAATAGTGTTTTGTATGTGTCATGTTTAAGCTCAATAAAGCATGCATTACAGCACATGACAATTATTTATTTTCCCCTACATACCTTCTTTAGGAAAAGGGGAAGCAGACTTCGATGTGAAGGCTGAGCCTGTGATAAAAACATCATTAGTTGGAATGGATTTTGATGAGTCACCTTTGGATAATATCAAAAAAGAATTGACACTGCAGAGTAGAATCCCCATAGCAAAAGAGCAACAATATTTGCAAAGCAACGACTGTGGTCCAGGCTTTGCAGAAGAAAATACAAGTTCAGAGGAACAGGCCATGATAAAGACAGCTGGAAACACCTATCTGGCATCTCCCAATCTATCTGACTTTTGTGGCTGTAGTCCTGGTTGGAGCAGTGCATTTTATGGAGCTGAATGTTTTGATTCAGAAGTTCATAGTTACTTGAAAAATCTTGGAAAGCAGAAATCAAGTGAGTCACAAAATATAGATGCTAAAAAAGTGGTGAGTACATTGGTTTTAAATCCTTAAGATACATCTTGCTGGTTAAAATTGTGATAAAATTTGTTTTGTTATAGTGAATCAAAACACCATTTCATTTTTAAATACTGACTCTTAAGCAGTTTAAAATCCTCAGGATTTGTCGTGTCTTGGCAATAAACCACAGGAGAGGTGTAGTATTCCAAAATAATGCCCACTGACACAAATGTGCAATCAGCAATCTACAACCCATTTGCTGCTCTTAAAGTTGACTGGAAAAGCACTGTCTGCCCTTTGCATCAACCCCATGGTGGTGATAGTGTAGGAAAGAGCTAAGAATGACTGTGACTGCAGCACATCACAGGCATAGAGCTTTATCAAAAGTTTTTATACTCTAGACCTACCTGAATTGGAAGATGTTGTGAAGTAGACAAGGAATTTGCCTCTGATTTCATTGCTACTCTTGCAAATTCCCAGAATTTTTAGGGGACAAACTACTTTGTCCACCGGATTCCAAATGATCACTCCTTCTAATTCCCTTTCTGTTTACATAGTCTCTTAACACCTTGATTTTGTTTTAATTGATGAAGCAAAAGCAGACCTTGAAGTAAAATCTAGCAGCTTCCAATTAGAATCTGGGTAATAGCTTTCCTGTGCTTTCCCTGTTCTCTAAGCAGTGCCTCTGTAGGAGTACCTCTTTTAAAAATCCAGGGGGCTTTTATGACTCCATGCTAATGAACTGTGTTGTTAAACCTTTTGAGCTCTTCTGAAAAACAGCTACAGGTTTTTCTTAAGCTCAAATTAATTTCTAGCAAGTCCATCCCATTAAAGCTAACCTATTTACCAATCTGTTGTTTGATATGTTAGCTCTGAGCTGTGTGTTTTCTGATCACTCTGCTTGTGGGAGTTGTCTGCTGCATTCCGTGAACTTAGTGCATTTAAAATGCTATTTCATGTAACTGGGTCACTGGTCGTTAACTTAGAACCCAAGTGCAAAAGTCACCTCTTTTATAAAGCACAAGATACATCATGTTTATTTTTTCATAATAAATCAGAAGCTGAACCCAAAGTGGATGGCCCATTTTTACTGACTGGTAATATAATGAAACCTTTGATATGCAAACAATTATAAATGTAAATGTTTACTTTTAAATTTATATATTTTGAAGGGCCTACATACTTTCATTTATACTCATTGCTTAAGTTACATAATTCTATAGAAATTTAGTTTCATTTTTTCAATTTTGTGAAATACATAAATAGAAAATATGAAAGTTGAACTTTGAAATTTATATGTCCTTTATTTCTAGAGCAGCTCTCTTGTCCGCCTTCTGACCTGGTTGTATAATATCATGTAATTATACTTGTTTGGAAGCCATTGATTTCAGTCAGACTTTCAGTTCTTGTTGCAAATATAGGTCAGCTGTTTAAAGTGTTTCTAGGGCCTGCACTAAATTCAGAACATAGAAATTTTAATTCTGGATTACTTCTGATTTCAAGTTTTAAAAATGCTCTTGAAAACAACCAAATAAGTGCAATTATAACTAAAGACATATTTATGTGAACAAATTCAGACAAACTTCCACACAATCTGATCATACACAAACCTGCTCCAGTTCTTAACTTGTAGAACTGTGACATCACTAATGCTTTTCTGGGAACAGGTAATTCCTGCTGTATCTTGCATGTAAACACAGATGTGAAAGGTATTTTTTCATTGTTAATAACATATTCTTGTCTGTTTGGATGTTCTTTTTTCTTCATACAAAATAATTCTCTTCTAAAACATCAATTTCTTACTAGAGCTGCCTTCTGCTTACAATTCTGAACAGAATCCTATTTCTTTTTAAATAGGAACTAGAACAATTACTAATGATGGAGACAAAAAATTACAGAAAGACCATAAAGTTTTACCAGAAACTATTGCAGAAAGAAAGAAGAAGCAAAGGTAAGATTACAGAAACTTGCCAGTAATAAAATGGCTGCATTGTACTTTTAAGGACCTGCTCTGTAAATCTGAATCATTGATGTTCTTATGCCATGTATTTTAAATCTAAAGGTCCTGAAACTAAATCTATGTTGCCCAAACTGAGAGGACAGCTACAGGAGATGAAATCAAAAGTGCAGTTTCTTGAACTGGTAAAGAAATATGTGCAGGCAAGTCAAACTTTATTTCACTTGTGCTTCATTTGTCATTTCATTACTGCATCAGTGTAACTGGCTGCTCAGATCACTATATGAAATTTGAAATGGGTTGTGTCAAACTGCCGAATTAAGATCCAAAAGAATTATTAAAGGTAATTGCTACTAGTATTGCTTAAAAAGAAAAAAAAAATCAATTGTATGAAATGCAATTTGTCTTTAAATTGATTGCATTTTGTGTGACTTTACCTCTCTAACTTCTTGTTTTATCATGGCCTTGCTTCCTTGAGCAGATGATGTATGCAGAGCAGTGGGGTGTGGAATCCTACGTGCTGCCTACAGTCATTCACAATGGGAAAGCTGACACCATGGACATGGCACCTATGGATGAATCATCATTGCTGCTCTACTATAACACAGAGAAACACCAGTGTAACAATCAAAATGGAGTGAGAGTTCTGCAGGCCGGTACACCACTTGGTTTAATGGCTTATTTATATTCTAGGTATAATATATTTTACACATAAATTGGGAGTGGGTAGAAGCATAGTTGCTAAATCATGAAAAACTTGTTTCTGTGATGAATCCTAGTTACTCAACATTTAATAGGTTCTCCTCTCTTCTATCAAGTTTGTGTTGTTTCTGTGAACACTCATTTATAGAAATGGAGATGAAAATGTCAAAAGATCAGCTGGCTTTCATTGAAAGTATTTGATAATAAATAAAAAACTAGCAATTTTAAACTTTTTAATCTTTGACTTACTTGAGGCTTGCTCTGATAGTTGCCATGGAATCAAGACTTTAAGTTACTGTCAGCAGTACAGCAATTCTTCAAATAATCATATAATCATATAACTTGGTAATTCTTATTAATAAGAGCTGGATATGAAAATGTTTAGGGATGTTTCTACAGATTATTGCCCCAGTAATCAGTCCTTGGCACTGATCAAAATGCAGGCTTTTCTCTGGGTTTAAATGGGGACAGAAGTGTCCTTCAACTCTGGTGAGGGCAGTGTTGTTTTAAGGTACCTAAGCTGTAATAGTGTGAAGGATGGAAATTGCCAGAGGCTCCATCAGATTTGTGCCACTCTAGAAGGAGCAACTTCCTCTCAGCTACTTCTCCCAGTTCATCCTGACTCTTGAGACCCAGTTACACTGAATGCTGCTTTTCCTGGTAGCGAGTATTTTGCACAAAGTGAAGGAAATGTTTTAGAATTGGACTTTCCACATTCATCAAACCCAAATTTCCATGGTCAGCTGTGAGCCAATAGGGAGAAAAGACAATTAATCTGTGTTAAGGCCTTAAGAGTGTATGTGTATAAAAAAATAAAATGCCCTCGTTTTTTAATGCGTATAATAAGTGTATTCTGTTGTTAAAGTAACTACTCCTCTAATTAGAGCTACAGGGAATATTTTCTTGCTTAATGTATCTACTTCTTATGCTGTTATTATAATAAAAATGCTTTAAAGCAGCATTAAGTTAGATGATAGAAAAAAAAAGAAAATGTAATATGTTCTTCCATACCATTTAGATTGCAACTTGCCTTAATAATAGAAATGTCAAAGTGGTTATTCACAAGATTGAAAGTAGAGAAACTCTTTATAAAACAAATTATGCTTTCTGGGTTGGTAATCACAGTACTTGATGTGTAAAAATAATTTTAAAAAGAACCAAGGTTTTATGAAGCGCTTGAGAATTTAAAATGCCTATTCTTGATATTTTTGAGGATTTTTTTGCTGTTGCTGTACTTGAATGCAGGTTGAAGATGTGTTCTGGCTTGTCTGAAGTTTTTCTTGTGCTTTACAGAAATGCCTTTTTAGAAGGTTATGTACAGCAGTTTCTTTACACATTTCGCTATTTCTGCACACAAGAAGAATTTTTGCAGTTTCTTCTTGATAGAATCAGCAGCACTTTATCCAGGTACAGTAAATTCTCACAAACAACATTATCAAAGCACAATTGAGTTTCCTCTCAATAGCAAATAGCTGTTCGTCAAAAGTCCTACTTAATTAAAATTAATTTTTAAGTTTGTTTTTGTAAGAGTCTCTTAACAAGTGAGAGCAAAATGGGAGCAAGAGCTTCATCTGACAATGTGCTTACTTCTCAGTTCTGCTTCTCACTTTTACCAGTGATCCACTAATGGGTTGTAATTACAACCTCAGCTTTGTTTCCATAGAGCCATGGATTCTAGAGACATGAAAATTAGGAATTTAAGATATTACATTGAATGCCAAATAAAACTTGTGGGTTTTGTCAGTGCATATTTTTTAATTGGAATTGGATATCAATTTTGGTGTAATAAATTTCTTTTTCTTCTCACCAGTGCAAGCCTGGATCCTTCCACGTCCCTTACCAAAATATGTAACCGCAGTTTCTACATCCTGCAGGCATGGATTGAAGACTGTTACAGTGTAGACTTTGCAACAAATACTGATCTTCTGGGTACCCTAAAAGAATTTATTTCTTCCAAGGTAATTCAGAATTTCAGTACATCCTTTAAGAAAAAGAAAATGAAGTCAGTTATGTGATATGTAATATAGTTATTACAAAAAGCTGCCCTAAGTACAGTTAAAGTAAATAAAAGAAAATAATGCTGTATTTGACAGCTATGATCAGTACGTCTGGTTTTGGACAGGTAAGAATCTTGCAACTGTATTGTAACTTGCTTATAATTTCTGGGAAATTGAATTGAGTTCCGTTAGCCTATGTTGCATTCCCAGGTTGCTTCGTTAAATGGCTACGGGGAGCGCTTGTTGTCACTGCTCGAGGACGCCTCTGCCAGGAAAAGTGGCAGTGCTGGTCTGTGCTCTGGTGTGGACAAATGTAAAGAAGAAAGTAAGGAAGGCAGAAAAACATTACATTCCCTATGTAAAAAGCTCTCAGAAGATGTTTCCAGAAAGGTGTGTCTTTTCTTCAGACTGCAGTGTGTGAGGGGGAAATACATTTCCATATATTATGTTTTGACAAAAACAGAAGCGTCCAACTTAGAGTCCAGAACAACTTAGTAAGAATTATGTACCTGCATTTTAAATTTTCTTTTGAAAGTATGTAAGATTCAGACAGTTCTGTAACCATGACAATAATCTTAAGTTTTAACTCTTGACAGCTGTTTCAGTAATCACAGATCAGATAATCAAAATTTTGAGAGTAGAATTCTTCATTCTTGACACTAGCATGTGACTTATAGTTATTAGGAAACCTTTGCCCCCTTGTCAACCATTAATGATTTTTATTAGGCATCTTTTTAAGACTATAAATACAAGAAAACAGCAGGAGCTACGAGATTCCCTGCTAGAACTTCAAAGCTTGTAGCAAGAACTTGTCTGAACTTTTGTCTGTATTTGCTATTTTATTGTGTTCTACAGCCCCAGAAACCAGAACATACTGCAGGCTTTTCCCAAAAACAGATCTCTTTACAGAGTGATCAAAATAACATGTGGAAGTCAAATGCATCAATAATTTGCAAGCTGAATTAAACATCAGCCTCGTGATAAAGGTGCACAGTTCCATGGGTATACTGGGGATTCAGCCAAGAAAGGGCAAACAGAATAGAGGAACATGGACTTTTTTTACTCTCACTGCACAATAATGATAATGGACAATGGAAGAAGGGAAAAGAATGAAAAATCAAGTGTTTTTTGGAAAGGGATGTTTGATTCTAAGCAAAAAGAAGTGAAATATTTTATGGCAGCAAGCTTGAATACATAGAGGTTTGTTTGAAATACTGATTGTTGATTGAGATCTGGCAGCCTCCTGCTTAGACTCATCCATTGTGCATATTATATTAGCTTAAAATAGCAGTGTTGAGTAAACCAATTTGTTCTGGGGTAACCTTGAAGGTTAGCTGAAGAGTTTTGCATGCACAAAGGTGTTTCTCTTAACAACACTTTCTTGAAAGTTACTTCAAGGGGAGACTTAGTGTTTGTTTTAGAGAAGTTGTAAACTTACATTTATTTTTTCTACAGAACTTTTACTGGAAGCTATCCAAAGGTATGGGACCAATTGCACAGTATCAGAGAGAGCGACTGCACACAGGTTCAGCAGTTTTGCCAAAGCCCTGCTGCAGCAGTTTCACAGAAGAATCCTCAGTCTCCTTAGCCAGAGCAGATGAAGTGGGACCGGTTCTCTTGATTGAGTGCAGTGCCCAGCAGCTTTGTTGGCAGCTGACACTACTGCAACAGGTACAAAGGTCTAGGCTTATTTGGAAGTACAAATAATATCTATCTTCTTACTCCTTCTCTTCTTTCTTTATCATTTCCCAGCCTTGTTTCAAGCTTATTTCATACTATTTTATAAGACTTTGAATTAAAACTTTTCTCTTAAATCTCTACAGTGAAATTTAGAATATCTACTGTTATTCTTAGGCTGTGATCCCTCGCATAATTCATGAAGGTGGGGTGGGAGGAGGACCCTACTCTGTCATTTTTATCCCCAGGCATTTTAAAATAACTGCTAGAACTAACAGCAGATATATCTTGCTTTTTTTGTTTAGGAAGTATTTAATAAATGTCATCCAGTTCACTTCCTAAATTCCAGAGCACTTGGCGTTAAAGACAAATGTGTTACTGTGCCAAAGTAAGTTGCTTGTTTTAACTACACTTCAATTATGTTGATGCACAATAACTTAGAGTGTGACACTTTTAATACAGCCAGAAACAGAGAAACCATTTAAATACTTAATATTTTTTTTACAGACTAGGTAGCCTTTTTATATGCGTTATTTAATTGCAGGAGATTTCATATGTGGATGCAGGAGATTTCATATGTACCTATGCACATGCATTTATGTGAAAGGCCACATTTTCCAGGTGATTTCTTTGAAATCTGAAGTGAGTTGAGGCTAAAAGTTCTTATTGCTAAGAATTTGCATTGGGAGTTGCTTGAAAGTTTCATTTTTGGCAGGGAAAACGTGTGGTGGGTTGTGACGTAGATCTGTGGCCATGAATGTGTGTGTGTGTATATGAAATCTCAAAGACGTTTTCAGTCTTACAGAATAGCTGAGGTTGGAAGGGATATCTCAAGATATGTAGTCCAACCACTCTGCTGAGAGCAAGGTCAGCTAGACCAGGTTGCCCTGGGTTGTGTGCAGTTGGGTTTTGAAGGTGGATGGAGATGCCATAACTTCTCTGTACAATGCTCCTTCTGTATGTTAGGGAGATGAATTATTGGTATTCAGAGAAACACAGGAATTTTCCTATAGTTACTGGAGTGATTACCAACCTAGTCATTTGCTCATCAGTAATTAATGTTTCAATCCAACCACATAGACCTAATTATTTTTATGATGGTCTGCTTCTTACATTCTCAGTGGATTCAGTTAGCTTCTAATTAGTAGTTGTTAATTGCACTACTTATGGTAGATTTTTGCTTCTAAGGATAGGGAATGAACATCTAAAGCAACTCAGGTTGTTCAATGGCCAAGATTAGATCACCTGTGTTATACAGATTTTGGGGCTTAGTCATGGGAAACAACATGTGTGGTGCCACTTGATATCAGGCTGAATTTCTTTTGTGGCTGCAGTTCTTGAGTTTGGGTTTCTGGCTGTTATTTTGTGTCAGATTGGCTGGGGTTTTATTATGCACTAATGAAAGTGGTGAAAGTGTTTTTATGTACAGAAATGTGTCCTGTATATGCTTATTTTTTATCAGATATACTTACCTTGTAATTATAAGGAAGAAGAAGTAACATGGCTCACTACATATATCATGAAGTATGAAATGAAGATGCCAAGCAATGTAAAATTATTTTTAATGGTTAGAAGTTGACATCTTCACAATCAAGGTTTTCTTTACAAATCCAGTATCAGCCAGAATTATTTTTGCCTTTTTTTTTCTGTATTTTCCCCAGGGCAGTTTCTGCTGAGACAGTTTCCCTTAAAGTCTGTAATCTCTTTCTGTCAAAGTGCATACAAGACCAGTACCTTCTGCAATTATTGAAAAATGCAGACAGTATCAGCACCTGGGTTGCTGCTGAAATTGTAACATGTCACACAACTAAGGTTTGTCACTGTTTATTGTACTATTAACTACAAAACAGTTATGTATTTGTCATTATCTATGACTTGTTATGTAGCAAACCTGCAAGAAATAGTCTGAAATACACCTGTGAGTGGGCAGTTAACAATTTGGTATGTTGTCACAAGGAGGGTCTTGGATGCTTTTTAGTAGCAGGTGTTAAAATCTGACAGAATGTAAGAAATGGATTGTCTGAGGGGAATATGGGTAAAACTTTCTTCAAGGACGCCTGAGTGACAGGAAGGGATAAACTGTGTGAAGGGAAATGTTACTACAGTCAGGCATTTTAAAAACAAATTGAAAAGGAAATACCTCTTCTTCCTTCTCATTTAATTTTATTATGTAGATATACTGTGTATATGTGTATATTATATATATGTTAATTTTTTTCCAGCGGCAGGTGAGCTTGTTATCAAAATTTCTTCTTATAGCAAAATGCTGCTATGAGCAAAGAAATTTTGCTACTGCAATGCAAATCCTAGCAGGCTTGGAAAATCTTATTGTACGACAGTTGCCAGTAAGTTTGGGACTCTGTTCTCTAACCATTTTGCTTAATATAATCTCGTTCCAATATAGAAACTAATGTAAAAAAAATATATATATTGTGTTTTATTCTAAGGCCTGGAAAATTCTACCTGCAAAAGTAGCTCAGATAATGGAGGAGCTCAAGGCTGTTGAGGTATAGTATAAAGTTCTTAATGTAAAATTACATCTTTGGGGCTGGAGAAGGTGCAAGATCTGCTTGAATTGGTGTCTCTGCAGGGTGAAAGCCATAATTATTACTTTTGTGAGTTTAATTTGATTGCAGACTTTTTACTCTTAATCCAAGAGTTTCCATAAATTTTAATCTCTGTATTTCTTTAACATTTGTCCTGTGTGACAAATCAAAATTTCAAAAGTAAGGTAAAACATTAGATATGCTACACTGCATTAGAAGATTTCTGCAGAAGCTTTGCAGCTGTAATGTGTTTTGAAAAATCTTAAGTGCCTATTTTATTATAGGCATTCTTTTATTGCTCTGTAAAATTTTGAAACGTAGTGAGGTTTTAAAATGCAGTTTTGCCTGTGATTTAGAACAATGGAAATTTTGTATGAAATATCTTTTGATTAAAGTTACTTTGTGTACTTTAAAAAGTTTGCCACCAGATTAATTCATAGTGTTGTCTTCAACTTCAGTGCCAGAAGTTAATATTCATGACATATAAATAGATGGTGTTAAGTACATGGAGAACTTGTAAAACCTTCCCCAAGATTTAATGTGAGATGAATCTGTGTGCATTTTTTAACTAGGTGTTTTTAAAAAGTGACAGCTTATGTCTGATGGAAGGAGACAGGTTCAAAAGTCTTCCAACAATTCCATCAGCCCATGTTTTGGCTATGCATGTCCAGCAACTTGAAACTGGAGGATTCACAATGACAAATGGAGCTCACAAGTGGACTAAACTTAGGTAATTATTTTAATTATGTGCATATATCACCTATGTTTTTTCTTATTGTCTAATTAGATAATGAGAGCTAATGCAGCATTTCACAATTAACAGTTCAAATAGTTCCATTTGTTTAGACATGTAACTAGAGGTATATATACAATAGAATAAGGTGCTGGATGCCTTTGAATTTCCTTTAAGGTTTGTTTTTTGGTTTATGCTTTTGTTTGTATCACCAGCAAAACAAACTAATCTTTTTTACCATATTCTCTTACAAGAAATATTGCAAAAGTTGTGAGCCAAGTTCATGCCTTTCAAGAGAATCCTTATACATATGCACCAGATTTCAAGCTGCAGTCTTACCTCAGACAAAGAATAACTCGTTTTAAAGATGCAGACATTTCTGCCTTGGCAGCTGACAACTGTGCCAACTTCCATCAGATACCAGCAGAAAAACATTCTCGAAAAATTCAGGACACCCTGCGCAGGATGAAAGCAACATTTCAGTAATTATTTATGTTTCACCTGTTCTATTCTGGGTCTAGACTGTAAAACTGGATTAAGTTGGCTTCATCTACTGGACCTACTTCCAAGAAAATACTTAAGTGAAGCAACATAAGATACTTTCTCAAGTTGAAATTATTGTATTTCATAACATGGAATTATAAAATGCTGATGAATGAAGTTTGAATCACTGGCAACTGAATGGCAGATCAAAAGAATAAAAAGAGAGATAAAATTAAAGAGAGTATAGATTAAAAGGCTTATTAATTTTGTTACTCTTCTTTATCATAAATAATTAATTAGCCTGAAAACCAATATCTAAAAAATACTGTGGAAAAAGGTTACAATTCCAGCTTCTGTTGCCAAGTTGGCCTAGGAGAGTTAAAAACATAGTTCATTAAATATTGAATCTATTTTTATATAAACACAGTGCACTTATATCCTGTCACATTGTGCATATCATTCAGAAACACAGATCCTCTGCTATTCATTAACTGTTGGTGTGTCTTGCTTTTATGTTGTGTATTATGAAAACTGTAACTGACATAAATAATTGGCTGTCTATTTCTCCTACCAAGGAAGGAGAGGAATGCTACTGTTCAACTTTTTTTTTTAGCTTGATTTTAAAGTCATCAGACTAACCTGTTTCCAAATGAAAGTAAGATTTGAATGTAAGTATTATCTGCTTCTGCACTCCTGGCATTGTGAAGACAGTAAATGTGAAATTGCTCTTTTCATCTGTATTTGGCATGAGTCACTTTGCCAATTTATGTCTGTCTGCACATTTGAGTATGGCTTTTCCTCCTGAGGTTGTTTTTGTAGATCACAGTGCTCCAGCAGCATCCAACAGAAGAATAACCATGTGAAATTTGGATCTGCAACTTGTAAAACTGTGGTGCTAACCTATTCGTAGAGCTTATACTTACAAGACCTTCTAAATGGCCATGAAATGTGTTGCTATTGCTAGAAAATTTGTTGAGCTACCCAGGTTTATGCAGGGCCAGATTGTTAAGGCTAAAAATTAGTTAAAAATACAAGTATTTCTACCAGAGGGAGAAATGGTAGTGTTGAATGAAAAATAGGGAAGGGTAAGAAACACTTAAGCACTGTTCTGAAACTGATTTGCTTAGAACTGTGTTTAAAAAATTAAAAAGGAAATGTTTTGAGAGAAGTAAAGGGCAGATGTGAAGGAAGTATCTCATCAAGTGTTAGTGATGGAGAAGGATAATGATGTAAGAAATGGCAGCATGTACATGTCTGGTGTTTTGCAGTTGTACTGTTGTGTTTGACAGAAATGCATGTGCACATGCTAAACTGGAGCTTTCTCAATGTATAAGAGGAAGGCTTCTCCTTTTCTTTGTCAGTAACAGCAATATTGCATTTCAACCCTCTCTCATCTTCCTCAGTAAAAATACGGTGTGTCCATACTTTCCTTTAAAATACTCAGTTACTTTTTCTTACTAATACAATACTACTAACTTTGGGCTCTTATTGGATTAAACACTGAAGAACTCAGTCCTCAACAGGGTTTTCTTGCTTTTGTCCTACTTTTAATATGATTTATTTTATTTACCATATGTAGGTTTAACATCTCATTAATTATAGTATTCTGACTTACCCTTAAGGAAGTAAATCATGTTGCTATTTCTCTAAAGATTGTCAAATGTGAAAACATTTAATATTTTCCTCCTACCTTTATGATTTAAGAATGTTAATAATAACCTTATCTTCAGACATACATTTCACATATTTTATCTGTATGCATTTATTTTAAATAATTGGTTTTGTTAGTAATTATTTGGGGTTTTGTCAATTAAAAATTACCATTCACTTAAACCCACACCTTGCCTTTGAACGACAGTAAAATTTTAAGTAGCATAAGTTTTACTAATGTAAAATACTCCACAAGACTTGCTAATCACATGATCTTAATAAATTCATTTTATACAGTTACCAGTCAGACTTTTGAAATTGCTTTTGTGAATTTTCTTATCATTTATATTTTGCACTCATGAGAATTAGCTCATGTATTTCTTAGCTCTGTGTTACTACATCTAGAAAATATTGTTTATTCTGTGACAATAACTGGTGCTATACAAGTTTTTAAAAATCAGCTCATGTCTTCTGTAAGTGCTTCAGTGTATCAAATTTTATATTGATATTAATGGATAGTATTGATTTATGGTACTACTGTGGGGTGTTTCCATCAATCAGACATTTCAGATTTTGTGTTTAGGCACCACCCCACAACAACAACAGCAGCACAAATATTAATAGCTAATGAAAAGATTTCACATTTTGAATTCCTACTTTAAAATTCCTGCAGCAAGCAAGTTTGAAGAAACATTTAATGTGGCTGTTTTTAATCCATCAGTGAATGACAACAACTCTGCAAATTGATGCTTATTTGCTGTCATATGTGATAAAATTCATAAACAGTAACAGTAGTCAATTATTCACCTAAGTAGCAAAACTACAGGATAATCAGCTGCACAGTCATAGACTAGGATTGTTGGGTTTTCTGGGGAAAAGGGAAGAAGTTTGGGTTTTCTGGGAAAGAAGTGTCTTGATATCCCTTCAAGAGATCTCCTAGTTCTCATTTTCTTGATGCAAGGAAGTGAAAGGGCAAGAGAGTTGAAAATAAAAGGTGGAAAAGAGCAGATGATTCCTGAGATGAGAGTACAGATCCACAGACATGAGCAGAGTAACTTTTCTCTGTGCAGGTGAACTACAGGTCAAAGGCTGGATAATTCTGTTAAAGACCATTGTTGGGAATAAAAAATCCCCCAAAATTAGTTCATTTAAATAAAAGATAATGGACTGAAACCTAGAGAAAGATGTGAAGAACACACTAGAGTGCCAAACAATTGTGTTGTGATGTTTAATCAACTAAGCTGATGAAATACTGAATATCCTAGGCTGCATCTGAAAAGTGTGAGGATGATCTCTTTGGAAATGTCACATCAAGACTCTCATTTATTGTTTCTCCAGACCAGGGGATGTGTTGAAGTACACTGTGCTCACATCCCTGCCCACACCACCTTCTTATCCCTCTGATGACAGCCTGGATATGACTTGCTCTGAGCCCAGCATGAGCACACTTCAGATATAGCTTTGTGTATACAAGCAAGTGCTGGAACCATAGGGAATAATGTTATTGTTTAAGATTTTACAGTGTTTAATAGATAAACTGTTGAAAATCTGCATGTGGAAAGCAATCAAGATGAAAGTAACCATGGAACAACAGAGTACATGATTCAAAGGACAGAAAGAGATGAAAGAAGCAGAATAATAACACTGGACTTCAAAAAAGCAAACTTCAACAAATTCAAGGAATTGAATTGAGATCCTGGGGAAGGAGTTAAAACACAAAGAAAAGTTCAAGAGAGCTGAGAGTTTCTAAGAAGAGTTTCTAAGAAGAGTTTCTAAGGCTGTATTTAAGTATAACAACAGTCTATCCACATGCAAAGGAAAGAAAACTCAGAGAGCACTGTGGCTGCATTAGGGGCTCATCAATTACATGAAAAAAAAATCAAAAAAGAATACTGGGAAAAAAACAGAAACTAGACAGCTACATTATCAAGAACAAATATAAAAGAACAGCACGGCAGGTTAGGAACAAAACTGGACAGACAAAAAATTTTTATCAGCAAGTGAAAAGCAAAACAGTAAAAATGGATTTTTAAATATCTTTCTATTATACAATAAGAGCTCTCTGCTTACCAGAAGAGGTAAGTATCAGATGGTACAAAAGCGTGGAGTGCTTGCTGTTCCACTGCCTCCCCTCTAAATAATGCCTGTCATAATCAAAGTTAACCAGGAATGCAGGTCAGAGGCTATCAAGCTAATTAGATGTATCATTGCATTAACTTCTGATTAAAGCTGTTTTATAATAATAAGAAGGCAAATTGAAATAATCTTGGAATTACAGTATGTTTGATTGAGAAAGAACAAGTGAGTTCACAGAGAACCAGAAAATAATACTACTTTTTAAAAATGGACAAGATCACAGGAATGACTGGAAAGGCAAGGTAAAGAGAATGACAGAGAATCAGCCAGAAAGATTTGGCACTAGAAGAGTTACTGAAAAAGCTGTCTGAAAATCTGCAAGCATAGAGACTAATTGAAAAGGCTGGCATGTTTTTGTCCATGAAGTAACTTTTAAATGACTTAATGGTCAAGGTAACTGTCCCAAGAGATAAAAACAGCATGTTGTACATTGAAGTCAATGAATGCTTTGACAACAGCTCCTCCTGGCCTGATTATATATTTGGTTGCTCAGATTCAGATGATGGGCCTCTAAGGTGAATACACAAATGGTTAATACATAATTTCAAAGGGTAATTAACATGCTTGTTGAATTGTGAAGTGAATTGAGTGGGGTTAGGACTATGCAGATGTTATGAGTGAAAAGCAGGTGCAGATCCCTCGGGGACAAGACACAAAATAAGTGAGAGCTTTGGTTTTATCAAAAGTGTAGCGTTCCCACAGTGGGAATCCTGGAGCAGCAATCCAAAGAGGACCCAAGGCACTGGAGCCCTGCTCAGGAGTGAAGCTCCAGGGAAACTGCTGTGGGGGTGAGTAAAGAAATCTGTGCTAATTAATATTTCATACATATGCAATGTCCTGTTTTGCTCATTAGCTGCCCCATGTAATGCAGGTGCTGCTGTTTGAATTCCAAGATCTGCAGATGGGCTTCACCTTGGCACCCCTGCAGATGGGGGGAAGCAAACTATTCTGCCTTACAGTAATGAGGTAAAACATGCTCGGTGCACAACACACCCAGGTGGTGAGAAGGGAACTGTCACAGTCATAGTAACAAGAGAAGACCTGCCTGGGACTCTGCATACTCTGATGAGGGAGGCAAACTCTCCAGGATTACCATAAGGCAGTCTTCTCCCAGCCTACACTGTATGGAACGTGTAGGAATGTCTGTGAGTTTTACTGCTGAAATATAAGGTGGGATGGAAAGCACACTTACACAATATACAAGCTTAGAACTCACAAGAACTCTCAACTGTTATCATGTGATAACAGCTTAAATTTCAGCTTCAGTTCTTATAGTTTTGAAGGATAAATATTAAATGAAAAATAACTACAGAGCTTCAGTAAAAATCTCTGGGGACCATAACAAATCACAAGCTGAATATGAATCCATGTGTACAGTCTGTAAAAAGAAAAGAAGAAGGTGGGGGGAGTAGACCTGAGGTGCACAAGAAAGAAGGTAATTATTTTGCTCT